GACCGAAATTTCACGATCATTTTCAACCGAAAAAACCTGGTTTTCGGGGTAGAGATGCCTCTACTTCAGAAGATCGTAGCGACCCCAGTTTGCACTCTAAAAGCTTGTTATTTCGTAGGCAAAAAATAATGTTGCTTAAAAATACATATTCCAAAAACGAGCTTTCTGCGCCGCCTCCGCCGAAAGTTATAGCCTCCTACTTTCCTTCACGTTTCTTGAAAGACCCTGTATTTAGACCGTCATTGTTGACCACTCAACGTCAAAATCGCTTTAATTTCAAGTATTTTCTCCCTCTTAATTCCCAGACATTTCTAATACGAAATCACTACAGCAAACAAAAAAAATTCCCTCTAACTTCCACCCCAATATCCCCCTATCTCTCTCTGCCCGTTCGTTTTTTTCTGTTTGCCTACAATAATGATTTGTCATCTTTAGGATTTGGTTTTATTTGATTACCGATAATAGCGGTGATCTTGTTCCGCGGGCACAGCTGCCCGCTCTCCGCTTTTCCCACACGTGTGTGAATTGTGTGGGCGAAGCGCCAAGGCCCGGCTTTTGCAGCGGACTTAACGCGAAACCTGTTAGGTTCAGCTCAACGTTTCAGCAATTGATTGGCGAGATGGAGGTTAGGTTGTATAAGTTATTTTTATTAGTTCCAGAGAATAATAAGAATGCCACACAAAATGGAGGAAAAGGTCAATTTGTAGAGGTGGTTTGAAGACACAACAAGTAAAGCGTCATAATGCTAGCTAAAATTAACAGAAAAGAAAACAAGGCAACGTTCTTCCGAGAGCATGTGATGATGATAATATGAACAATTAAATGTTCTGTAAATTACAAAAAACCGGAAAATTATTTGCTATAAATGGGCTACGCTGCCTGCAGGTTTATTTTGGCCTAAAGCAGACTTTTGGAACCACAGAAATCTTTGGCTATTGGCGGTATGAGCAAAAATTAAAGAAAATCGTAACGTCGAATCTTGAAAGACCTCTCTTGGTAGTAATGATAATGTTTTGAATGCATTAGTTTCTCTTCTTAGACATCCAAGGACGATTTTTTGGCATTACATCCTTTGAAGTGAGAAATATCCAACATAAGATCAGAAATCATCCCTGGCCCATCACGAAATGTTCAAGACGCAAAAGCAATAAAAGACATTGTAAAATGAAACCTGTTGATAATGTCTGTGAATTCGGCAAAGTGGATTTTCAAAAAACGAGGCATTTCGAAGGCATATGTGAGAGATGGCTAGGTTGTTTGCTATAACCTTTAAGATATTCAGTTTTGCTTCTGATGCTAATCGTTTTATTGCCTCGAAATTAAAGATAAAGATTGATTTTTTCTTCACGTATTTTACATCCAAAACATCGTTTTTTCAAATAAAAAATAAGTGCGTAACACGGTAAAATCGCTGCGCGACGAATCGCTAGAGAAACTGAATTTATCCGTTACAGAAGGGTTTCGCTATGCGGAGATTTTTTTTGGTCTAAGATTGGCTCATGGGACCTCTTGAATCCTTCGTTATAGAGGAGTTTTTTGAAGGGATTGCTTGTACAGAAGCTCCACTAAAATATTTGCTTCATTCTTCTTGCTGGATAAATGTTTTTTTTCGGTCTTTCATGGACCATTGAACATGAGATCATTTGAGGCCAACATTGGACTTTTAATTAGATAAAATAGCACAAAAAATATGTTCTTGGACTTTGCGCTGAATCAATTATGCAGCTCATCTAATTAATTATGTTGCCAAGTCATCGTTTTTTTTTGTTTTTGCCAATTTAGCCCTCAGGTCCATCCAAAAGCTTCCAAAATTTCAGACAAAAAAAGTCTACTCAGAAAAGTGATTTGTCAAGTCATGATGGAAGTGGCTTTGAAATTTGTTCGAAAAAATTTCTTGACAAGAAAGCAGACTTCTAAGCGTAATTAAGAGTTCACTTTGACTTTATTGGATTTATCACCAAGTCCAACAGAGGACGTCGAAGTGTTGTGATACACATCTGTTTTGCCATGTGCAAAATTTGGATTTATTTGTGAAAAAAGTGATTATGAAAAAAAATTTATAAAATGTGAAGAATGGAACTGCGTATTTTAAAAGTAAACTTGATTTTTTCAAAATCGTAGATATGCGATGCAGAGGGCTGGGAAAATTTTGGAGCTACAGTGGGAGCTGTTCAACATACAACAAAACCTGTCTATAACAAACAATTTTATTGTATAGAGGTTATAGTTTTCTTTTTTTAAAAGTCGTTGTTGCAGAGAGGCTTCTGAGATGGTTTTTCGTTATAGACATGCTTTGTTGTACAGATTTTTTTGTATAATTTTTTACTGTATTTCTTCTGCTGACAAAAAAACAAGCATAAGTTTTAATTAACGTATTTTACCTTTGCCTTTCAATTTTTTCTTCCAAAAAATAGCCCTCCAATTACTTCTACTCACAATTCTTTTTTCCACTTTATTGCCCCAATCCCAGTAACACCCATGCATTATATTCGAATTGATCCACCTGTTCTATCGCTATTTCCGAACTTTCAAAAAAATTTCGAGGAAAAAACAGCCAAACGGCGCCAGAGGCCGTAGACTTTTAATGTCCGTTAATCCGAATTATGGATCAGCTGGCTTCGATCAGCGCTTGTTTCGGGGGTGTTACTTGGAGCGCTGAAGTTTAATCTTGTGTTTGGAGAGTTGTGTTCCAAAGTTTGATGTCTAATTTTAGTGTTGGCAATCTAAAATCTTGAGATTTTAGTAATTAACTTATACCTTCTTAATAATTATTTTAGTCCTTAAAAACCAAAATTTTTCATTTAAGGAAACTCGTAATCAAAGGCGATGTATTAAAGCTAATGCTACGAGATCATAAAGGACCAGAAAAAACTTTTTTCTCTCAACTTTTCGTGTCTTTACCTTCACTTCCTCAAGCTTGATGTCACTTGTTAAACCCACTCAAATTCGGTTTCAAATTTTTCTCACTATGCCACGTACAGGTTTCGGAGACGGTGGTTTTCAAAGTTGATCCTCTGGCCAACAATGTGACAGTTCCGAAATTTTTTTTTCTGCTACCAATTTCTTGTATAAAAGACTGATTAATCTTGCATTACAATTTTCGATTGTTGGATAGATATTTTGAGAGAATGCTGTCAAGACTTAGATCTAAGTCGAGGTATAGGATGGCCCTTAACTTGCCCTCTACTCCTAGTATCCACTGCCCCTACTAACCCGGAGACAGAAATAGAGAACTCTAGCAATAAAACTGTGGACTCACGCAAAATTGATTCCACTTTGTGTCGACACAACCGGATTGGATCAAACGGAAATTCCAACAATTCTAAAAGTATCTTTATTTCACCAACGAGTGACCGAAAAGCGGTCGATCCATTACATTTATATCAAAATATTCGTGTTTATGCTAATTTCTGGGAATTCTTCACGGAATCGTGACAATGCGGAACGCTTTCCATGAAAAAAGTGGACTTGTTTTAGGCCAAAGAACGCTTGGATAAGTGGGTGTTGTCGAGTGTTTGTTTATTAAACACGTTCTTTGTGGTGACTGGGGATTTTGTAAAGCCCACTCTGTATGAGGAAACTTTGTGGGTCTAACTTTTTTGAATTTTAAGTAAATTTCTTTATCATAGATTTGAGCGCCATTAATCGTATATTAAATAATTAAACTTTGATGTTTTTAGATCTTGTTTCGCGAATACAGGGTACTCAGGGACTCTATGCCTGTAGATAACGAACGATTTCAGTTGTCCGAAAGGCTTATTACAAAGCCAAATTAGTCCCTGTATTGCAAATCCCTGTCACAGCGAACAAATTTGTGGGATCCTTGTGAGTGATTGTACGGAGGCTCAACTGTATAAAATTTTACGAAATATCAGCTGCTAATACTCGCTACTTGATTTTGCGACAATAAATAATTGTCGCAAAACTGTCACTACCCTTTTACAGGCTTTTCAAAAATTTCAAAATTTAGCAATCATCCTCCACAAAAATTCCTAGGCCCGCGATTTATATAATCCAGATCCGTGCTTTCAAGCGTTTTACTTGTTCTTTTCTCAACTTGTTACTCTTTTTTCGAGTCCCTCCCGCGCCTTTGAACTACTCGCGTTTCACTGCCGAGCATGCAGCTGGAGTTCCAACCCGAACTTTTTTTTCTTTGTTTTTCCGCGCGCTTCGATCTGGCCAACCATCGATCACGGATCATTCAAATTGGTCCACCTTTTGGATGAGTTTTTTTAGATGTGAGACATTTTGAGGGAACATATGCAATTTTTAAAAGAAAAATTACCGTAGATTTGAAAAATTTAGGGTTTTCCTGTTTGAGTCATGGTAGACACAATCAAAAAAAGGTTTACTTTTGGCAAGTCATCCCAATTTTTTAGTGCCGAAAAAATTTACTTTCTTAGGTCCTTCGAAAAAGATTTAGGTATCCACCATATAGAGAATTTCAAGGGCTACAGCATAGTAAATTTCAAGAATTTTGTGCAGACATGAACGAAATTACAGACAAAAAATACCAGATTTGGCATTTTTTGCACTTTCTATGACTTATTTGAACTTTGAATGCCAAAATAAAAAGATCTTTTTAAAGATGGCTATAGTCTTATGCATGTCATAGAGGATATAGATGCTCCATACAACAAAACCCTTCTATAACAAACAGTCATGTCCTGTGCGATTTGTTATACAGAGGCTTCACTGTAGACTTTCTAGTATCTTTCAAAATTCTTTGTTTTTCATGCATCCTTTTTTTCATGTGATCATGGCTAAACACATACACTTTTTTTTGTTTCTAATGGGGTTTCGAATTACAAAATACATATTTTTCTTTGTACCGAGTTCAACTTTTGATCCGATTTTAAAATACGTTTATGAATCTTTGTTTTCTTTATGGATGTTCCGTGAAGCCAACTGCAGGTGAAAACATGTAATGATGACTATATAAATTCATAATTCTTTCAGCGAATAGACCATTAGAACGATCAATAGAGGCGCCTACAGCCATGGGAGACGTGGAAGAACAGCCAGTAGGTGGACACGACTTGAACTTAATTATCCGCAAATTTAGGTGGAGAACGGGGCTCAAGAGGACGTTCAAGAGGCCCAAGAGAAGACGGGTAAGCTGGAGTTTGATGTTGATTTAGATATCCTTAGGATATTCCGGTCATTTAGGAGAAAAATTTTATTTTGATTAAAGTCATACAGGTTTCAGTGTCTTAGCAGATTTTAATTGATTTTTTAACGGTTTAAACGAAAGTCAAGTCGGATATAACAAAGGCTGAGATCACAGATACAATGAGGAAATTTGGGGAATAAACAAGTTTACCTTTATTTGTTTTCGATTGAAATTTTATATCTTGAGGTTCCAAGAGGGTTCTAACTGTGGAAAAGTTAGTTTGGGACAAAGCGAAAATTTGTTATTTTCAAGGGCATAAGTCAAGATTAAATTTGAGGTAAAATACGAATCCCAAAACCTGTCATATTATGATTTACAGAAGAAACGCTATAAGTGACATTGTTTTACATATATATGTAAAAATGTAGAAAATCTGAAGTGAGTAGCACATCAAGCATCATGCTCTTGTTGAAACCTCAACTTCCGACACCCTACTTTTGGCCAGACTTTCCAAGTAATTCCTTCAGATTATACCTCCATTTTATAGCCAATTCAAGTTTTTATGGGCTGCAAAAAGCTCAGTTCAATGTAGCCTCTTGGTGTCATCATACTTTTAAACTCGGCGTATGGCGTTTCGAATTACAGATAAACACTTGTTGATGGGGGATGTCATCAGGTTCATTTTTATGAGGAAATTTTGGAGGTTATATTGCAAAAAAAGTTTTGGGCTAAATTTAGAAGCGACTTTTTGCGGGAAACTGGATTTTTTTACCAAGTTCTTATGTGTTGTGAGCTTTGGGGATACTTATTTAGGTTGCAAAAAATCGATAGTTAATGAAAAAATTGCTGGAAATTCAGTGGATTGTCTGTGTCTATGGATACTTTTTTTAGCTAAAAAATCTTTCAGCGACGTCTGAAATGACCTGTTTTTGCCAAATTTCATAGCCTAGAGGCCCAAACTTTGATGATTTTGCCTTTTTAATGACGATTTTTTCCCTTGTTATATCCACCGATCACCGACTGACAAATAATGTCTAGCAATTTTTGTTAAACAAGGCCTTTCGTTGACCTTTCGCGTACACAATGTTCTAACGGTCCCATTCTTCCAGACGACCCGGCTCAAGCGGTAATTGATGACGACCCGACCGAGAACCAAGCAAGTCGTTCCTGTTTTTGCATTTTCTTCGCCTTTTTTTAATCCGCCTACCCGACATTTGTCGTCGGAACGGTCTCTTAACTTGTATGTCAACGTTCTTCTCCTCTCCGAAGGCCGGGCACACCTGTTCCGACGCATGCCAGAGGCGGTGTCTCCTCCGGTCCATGCCCTCCGGGGCGCTTACTTTCGCTACTTCTTATTTACTTTTTTTTCGTTTCTTCTTCTTCCTTTTGGCCCCCCACCGACGCAATGCCCGGATCAAGGGAACAGCCACTCACGGCGGACGTGTGGAAGATCCCCCTCTCTGCCGCTGTGTATCGCGTTATGCCCTGACGGGGCCCCCGGCACTTGAGATTAGCCAAATTACGGATCTTTGCTTTGTCTTTTCGTGTAGCTGTATTGTTTTAGAGGAGGATGGGGGGTTTGGCAACATTCGGTAATTGGAGATGTGCAACAGTAATAAGTGAAATTTGCAAGGCCGGGATGATGATAGAGTAGTTTTGGGTCAACTGTTGCCCTCGTAGCTCATTTTTCGCGCAGTTCGAAGTATTGGTCTATTTTTAGAATTTTCTAATTTTGGAATTATTTGTTGCCCTCTTTGGATTATTCTTAAACTATGGCGTCTACAAGCCTTGTAGTCAAATTCCAATCGGCTATCGAAGCCATTTTTTGCCGAGGTGACATTTTATACGCAAAATCAAGTTATTCCACTTTCTTCACTTCCCTATGCAAGTTCTTCTCTCCATTTCTTATTTTATTGTTGATTTTTCTATACCTTGATTTCGGATGCTCTCTCACTTTCCTACTTTATTTTTCTCCTCATATAACGAGCTTCAATTTTCCAGGTGCCAGAAATCTCCGGCACCGAGAACATTGACCCAATGACCACCTCAATGGACGGAATCGAAGAGATCCCGCAGACCGAGGAGGAGGAGAAGTTCGAGGATGCTGAGGGCGAACCTCAGGAGCCTCAGGAGAACGGAGCCGCCGAGGGAGAAGAGAAATTCGAGCTCCAGCCTCCGCCAGCCGGCAAACGCCCGCGCTCTCCCAATGAGTTGGATGTAGCTGACAATGTCAGCGATGCCGGAAGCGGCAGCCCTGCTGGAAGTGCTCCACAAACACCCATTGGTAGGTTTGGGGGCCAATTGCGGATAGGCGTCATTTTAACAATCTTTTTTACACATAGTTTTGATTTATGGTACTAGTCGTCTATCAATTAAATTTAATTTTTCTTCCAGGATCCAACGTTGGCTCCACTTTGGGAGAAGAACTCCAATCCGCTCAAGGCTCCGCTGCCGGCTCTGCCGCTAGCTCCGCCGCCGCATCCGAAGCCGGCTCCGCCGCTGGATCTGCCGCCGGCTCCGCTGCCGGCTCTGCTGCTCCATCCGACGCTGGGTCCGCCCCGCAATCTCCAGCTCCTGCCGATGAGGAGGAAGGCGAGGAAGTTCCAGCTAGCCCAAGAAGCAGCGCTGTTGGAAGTCAGCTCGGAAGCCAAGCCGCCACCCCAGCTCCAGGCAGCCCAGCCCCCGATTCGGCCGCTGGCAGTCAGCCTCAGAGCCCAGCTCCACCAAGTGCCGCTGGCGATGAGGAGCCACCACAGACTCCTCGCAGCGGAGTGACTGGAAGCCAGGTCGGTTCTCAGCCCGTTACTCCAGCTCCAGGAAGCCAGGTTGGAAGTGTTCCTCAGACTCCAGTCTCTGCTGCTCCAACCACTCCAAGAGCTAGTGAGCCCGGAACTCCCAAAGCTAGTGAGCCCGCTACTCCTCGATCAGCTGCTCCTGGAACTCCTAAAGTTGCGGTCAATGGATCAATTCCCGGTACTCCTAAGTCGGCTGTTGCCGGAACTCCCAAAACCACCACGCCCGGCACGGCCAAGAGTGGAAAGAAAGGCGCCTTCGACTTTGAGAATGTTGAAGCCAACGGTGAAGTGCCAAAGGAAGTTGCTTCTCCAACCAAGAGAGTTCCTCGTACTCCCCGAACTCCCAAGACTCCCAAGACCCCTAAGTCTGAGGCTCCAGCCGAAGAGCCCGCCGCTGAGCCTGAGCCCGCCGCTGAACCAGCCGCTGAACTCGTTGAAGTCCCAGTTGAAGCGTCTCCTCCCACTGAGGAGGCCGCTCCCGCTGAGGAAGCCGCTCCAGAGCCAGCCGCCGAAGAGGCTGCTCCGGCAGAAGAAGCCGCTCCAGCTGAAGAGGCTGCTCCTGAACCAGCTGCTGAAGTCGTCGACGTTCCAGTTGAAGCTGATGAAGAACCAAAGGCTGAAGAGCCAGCTCCAGTGGAGGAGTCTGTTCCCGCACCAGAGTCAGCTGCTCCAGTTGAATCTGCGCCAGTTCCAAAGGCTGACGAGCCTTCTTCGCCAGCGCCAGCCAGAAGAGAGCCCGCTCCAAGCGACTATACTCCATATGATCAGGTAAGGAGAGTCTCTCCAATATCAAACTGGTTGATAAATCATCTTGATTTTGCCACCTTTGTGTTTTCAGGACTCCCACAAAGAAACCGTTCCACCCAGACTCCCCACCGCCACTTCGTTCAACTCCTGGAACCCCGCCGAACGCGAGACCTACAAGCCGATCAGCCCTTGGGTCAACAACCCCAACAAATACTCCAACGAATACACGTCCGGAGTGTCCAGCCGTCCCGCCAGCACCTACACCTCGATCTTCGACGACCTCGTCAACACCGGTCCCTTTTCCAGCGCCCTCTACAGCACCTCTCGGCTGTTGGAGCGTTCTCGTTCACGCACTCGTGAACGTCGCAACGCTTTCCGCGCCCAACGCTCAGCCAGCCAGTATGCCCGCTATACGCAGAACTTGCCCGCCCCCCTTCGTACCCGCGAGTACAGCACTCCGAGATCCACGAGCTTGACTCGTGCTCCATCTCGCAGCGGGTCTTTCATCTCGTTCCTGGATTACAGTGGTGCCAAGCAGTACGAGTTGAGCCGAAATCCCAGCCGTGGGTCGTTGTATGAGTCGACTCAGGCTCTTAGTCGCTCGAAGTAAGTGGGTTATAGAAGTGTTCTGATATCGTAAATTGAGTAAAAGCAAGATGCGTTTTGGCCGGTCAATTTTAGCGGTATAAACGGATTTTTAGCTAGAAGATTCTTTGATAAAATATAAAAATTTTGCTCATTTTTGATCCCTATGAAAATTAGCTTGCTCTGAACACCCTAGCGACAACTTCTACGGTCTTTCCCACCCAATTTTCTCTCTCCCAAGCCAACTCTTATCAAAAAAAATTTCGACTTTTGTCACCCCCTCTCTTTCCTGTAATCCGACCCGATTTTTCAGCTCTCGCGGTAACATTGATCTGTATCTGGGCGGTGGAAGACTCTCGCGAGTGGACAGCTTTGTTGCCAGTCTCAACCATCCATACGAGTACAACGTTCCCTCAACCTACGACGTGTACCGCTCCTCCTCGCGGAATCAGCTCAGCAACTACGCCCCACTGCAAGGGTTCACGGTGAGTTTGCTGTAGTTTTATGGTCGTACATGGACTCACAATCATGTGTAGTACGTAGAATTTACTGTGGCAGCCGAGAATACAGAGAGAACTCTTGTATTTTGTCATCATTATAGAGAGGTTGTTTAAATTTTGTCCGTTTTTCAAACATTTTTTTCGAATTTTTCCTTTTTTTTGACGTGTATATGTCCGTTTGACCAGCACCTTGCAGAGTGACAAACAGAACACATTTATGGCCTGGGAAGAGGCTAGCCGTCTACGGAGGAGCGCCTTTTATAATGAGCCAAACCAATACCAAGCTGGCTTCAAGGTGAGGATCGGCTAGCTTCTCTTCGCTTTCATTGCACTTTGTCCAAGTTTTAGTGACATAATGGTCATTGTTTCATGTTGTAATCCTAGTCAGATGTTAACCTGTGGGTGACACTTTCTGAAAACGGAAATTAGCTTGGTTATTTTTTGGTTTTTCAAGTGGAAAAGTGGTCTCTGAAATTTCTAAAACATTTTGGGGACCTTTAAATTTTTGGCCATAACTTTTTTCTATCTAAAGCGATAGCTAAAAAACTTGAGACAAGCAATCTCCTAGAAGACCTTTGCAAAATATTTTTGACGGTTTTTGCTTATGCCCTTAGGTCATCAGATATTGCCAATTAAAGTTTAAGCTTGACTTTTGCCAAAAAATTGGATAAAAAACACATTGATCTTATTGTCATTGTTACTGTCGTATTTTACCATAAGTCATCCGTTAGTTTTTGTTATTGTCGATTTCCATCTGCTGTTCCACCGGCTTCCTTTCACTTTTTTCGCTTACCACTGGTTTCAGACCCAGATCGGCGACCTGCAGCGCAGTCTGTCGCGGGAGCGCTTCGAGAAGGATCGGGTAAGTCTCGCGCCGGGCCGCCATAACCCACCGCTTAATTCAGCTGAAAAACCAATACACGCAAGTGGCGTACAAGCTGGACCAGGCCGTCCGCCAGCTGGACCTGTTGCGTTCGAACAGCTACGCGGAGGTCCGCACGGGCTCGGTGCCGCGGACCTCCGTCTTCTCGCACTTTTACCCGTACTATTAAGAGTTGAAGACCTTCTTCTCCGTATTTCTTCGCCTTCTCCGTGTTCTTCTCACCCCATATTTTCTTCGCCGTCTATTCAGCTCAATCCTTTTTTGGGATTTTTCGATTTTTTTATTCAAATTTTTTTCTGAAGCTCCCAATTCAAATTCTTTTTAATCTTTTTTATTCAAATCTCTGCCAATTTCAAATACTTTCAAGTGTGTAAGCACCAACACCCATTTTTGAATGTAAAAATAAACTTTTTTCTTTACACTTTGCTTGTCAGTGTGCCTTCTTCAAGACTTTTTTACACTCAATGTTACACTTTTCTAACTTCGATGCTTCACGGACTAACCGAGGAACGTAAGTTCCGTTTTTCCAAATCCTTTTATAAATTTGACATGTCCCGAATGTAAACTGTTTCGAGTAACAAAACTTTTCGGTGGTCGGTTTTTGATTTTTCGGAAATTTTTGGGTTTTTTGAATACTGCAAATTTTAAAATTGAAAAAAAAAAAATTTTTTTTACAATTTTTTTATTTTTTGGTATTTTTTTAATTGTAAAATACGGATTTTTTACCTTTCTGATCAAAAAAAAATTAAAATTTATTTGCCAATTTTCATATTTTATGAGAGTTTACAACCTAAAATACGAAAAAAATCCTAAAAAATCGACCTTTTCCACTAAACCAAAACATTTCCAAACACTTTCCACTAATTAGCCTCATTAATTCCGCCTAATTTATATCATTTTCAGCCCATCACTGCCTCCTGTTATGCCTCCGTCCCTGCCGCCTACGACGCGGGCCTGGCCGGACTCTACGGCGGGTTTGCCAAGGAATGGGCGGGACGTCTCTAAGTTGCGGTCGGGCCAGTTGCGACGCTCCCAGTCGTTGTCGTTGTCGCAGCGGCCGCTGCGGGCGCGTCGCGAGTCCATCGGCGCTTACATTGAACCCGTTGCTCCCAAGTTTTCGACCCACCAATACGTCTTTTTTTAACCATTTTTTTTTTTTGTTTTTTGATGCTCATTTTTTAGATTTTTTTAATTAAAATGTAAATTTTTTAAAATGTTTAAATTTTTATATTTTTGATATCTTTACTAGGAATAAGTTTATAATGTAAATACGGAGCCTAGAAAAGCTTTTCTAACACGCTTAAGCACGATTTGTATGAGTTGTATTTGTCAAAGTGAAGGATTAAATAAAGTTGAAAAATGAATTATGCAGTATTTTTTGACAACGATATTGCAGCTTACATCAATGTGAAAATTCAAATTTTTATGTTGAACCGCATCAAGTGGGTTAGAATAACATTTTTGACACGCTTCTGGGCCCCTATTAAATTAATTTATTTTTGATCTATCCAGTCAGAATGAACGCTATATAAAGTTTGAGAAGATTGCTGTCAAAGGATCCGGTGTAAAATGTCAATTGCCTTCTGAATTCGGTAATTCACAGTTACAGAAAAGCCTGATTTCGTTGAAAAATGCTTTATGGGTACTTTTTGATACCTTCGTTGAAGAAAGTATCTTGATAGAAGTGTAGATGGCTCTATAAGAAGCCTAGATTCTGTTTTTGACTTTGTGATGCTTTCTGATACCAAATTTTAACCTAAAATAACACCTTTGAACAGCTTTTTTTGACCGGCTCGCCTGAGCAAACTCATGAAATAAAAATTTTCAAATTTGTCGTTATTTGTGTCTAACGTGATTTTCTGTATTTTTACATTACTTATCCTTTTCATATTTTAAATTTGACCTCTTTTTTCATCATTTCTTCCTATTTCATGCCCTTTTCTTCTCATTATCTCTATTTTCTCCTTATTTGTGCACTCTTTCCCAAAAATGTTGCCAAATAACAAACAACAATCGATCTACTTATGTTTCTCTCCCCACTCCCCTCTCACTCCATCACCTCCGGGCTTTGTGTGTAGGCGTTTCGGACGCGAAAAAAAAATCGCCCACTGGAATCAACCGGGCAAAGCGGCTGTCCGCGGCTCCACCCCCAGCGGCCCCGTTACCCACCAAAAGCGTGAAGAATGGCCTCAAGGCAAGAGAAAGATCGGAGAAAAAAGATCAACAATGCAATTTGATTCGGCGCCTGATTGGAATCGAATCCAGTTGGGCGCCCGATTTTCAAAGGTTATGGGCAGGATTTTTCGTTTTTTGGCCCAAAAAAAGGGATTTCTGGCCCGGGTTTCCTCGGTTTCTGGAGCATAACACTATAAATTATTTTTATATGACCCTCGGAAAATGTCACTCATATTTGACATCTTTTTACGAGTGTTTTTTTTTGGGGGAAAAAGTTGAGTTTTTTTAATGGTTTCGAATTTCAGAACAGCCTTCAATCATGTCCGAAGAAGAATAGTAAGGCCTTTAAAAGTTGCTGCAATCAAATTTAAGAGGTGTTAAGAAGAATTGTTGTGAATATCAATTTTAAATATAACAAAAACTCTTTACAGCGAACATTTCCTTGGAGTAATCTCAAAAAATTTTAATCTTGAAAAAAATCGGTGTCCTACAACGAAAACTTTCAGTGTCAAAAACCTTTCTAGTTAAAAATAAAGCTTTAGGAACATAAATTATTACATGGCAAAGAACACCCCAAAACGTTAACTGAAGATAGTAAAATTTGATGTTGCAGCAGCGAAGAGGAGTACGAGGAGGAGGAAGAAGAGGAAGTCGCCGCCACACCAGCTGCGTAAGAAACTAGTCCGTAACCGGAAAATTTATTTTACAGCGCTCCAGCTGAGCCAGAAGCCGCTGCTGATGAGCCAGAAGAGACTGAAGAGGCCGAGCCAGCCGCGCCAGCGCCACCTGCTCCCGCTGATGACGAGCCCAAGAAAGAAGAGGCTCCGCAGTAGGTTTTGACATTCAATGTAAAATATTGGAATAGTTAAAAATTTATCTAATCTCGCTGATTTTTAAACTCAAAAACTTTAAAACCGCGTTATGTAGAATTTGAAAAAAATTGTGTTTCTGCATAACGCTTTACCGTACTGTTACAAAACATCAAAGAAATTCGTCTTTAAAATCGTTTTTTGTTTCCTTTTATCAAATTCGAACATTTACCATCAAAAATTATGCAAAATTTCATTTTTGAATATTCAAATTTTTCATTACTAAAATTTGTAAACAACCAATTTTCTGCACGTCCAATTTTCAGACTGCGGAAAGTGGAACGCAAGCAGGAAGAAGCTCAGCCAGAATCCCTGACCGAAGCCGAACAAGCCATGTTGGCTGCCAAGAAAAGACATGAAGAGGAGGAGGCTGCGAAACTCTTGGATTACGAAGAACGTCGCAAGCTTGAGCGTGAACAAACCGAGCGCGAACTGGAAGAGCTCCGTCAACGTCAGGCCGAACGTCGCGCTGAATGGGCCAAAGAAGAGGCCGAGTTCGCGGCTCGTCGTCGTCAAGATGATGAGAGGCGCAGACAAGAAGAGGTGAGGAAAAAAAGAAAAAAGAAATACCTAATTTGTTGCCCTAACCAACTCTCTTTCTTCAGGAAGCCCGCAAGGCCAAGAGCGAAGCCGACCGTCAACGTCGCGAGGAGGAACGTCAACGTCGCGGTAACATGATGGCTGGAGCTTTGTTGGCTGCCGCTAGCGGTGAGAAGCCCGGCCGAAACTTTGTGGTCGTCAAGAAGGAGCGCTCCGCCACTGAGACCTCCGACACCAGACCCCGCAAGCCCGGAGGAAAAACCGCTGAGCAGATTGCTGAGGCCAAGGTAAGCGAGGGGTATCTTAACGGTCAAAAAAACGGGGTAGAGCATTAAAAGCTGGCCACAAGATTAGTATTATATGTAGAAACAGTTTAGAAAGCACTCCTTCTGATATTATGTGTCCCGAAGATAGCCCTGTGGCTTCTAAAATGTCTGAATTACCTGCAAAACCATTGAATTTCAGCAACAATACCTGTCCGTCGTTGCTCGCCCAGTCGACGTCTCAAACCTGTTGCCAAATGACTTGAAGAACAAGATCAAGCAGTTGCATGCCAAGATTGTCAGACTCGAATCCGAGAAATACGACCTGGAGAAGAGAAAAGATCGTCAGGAATACGACGTAAGTTCTTCATCATGCCTAAAGTACCTGAATGAAATAAAAATTAACTTTGCATTTAAATCAGCTCGAAAATTTGAGTTCGACCACATAATTTATGAATTATTTTAGCTGAAAGAGCTCAGCGAGCGCGAAAAGCAAGCCTCGCGCAAGAAGGCCATCAGCCGAGGACTGGACCCTGACCAGATTGCTGATGCCTCCAACTCCGTGATCCCACCAAAGATTATCGTTGCCTCCAAATTCGATCGTCAAACCGACCGTAGCAGCTACTCCGACCGCCGTGAAAGATATGAAAAGGTAAGACGACTTTTCTGCGGGCTTCCTGTTGTCCAATAAACTAAGCGTTCATTGAAATTATTCCTGAAGAATCACTGATTTTTCCAGGACCTTTTAAACGTTTACGAACCTCGAGTAATCATCAATAACTTCCCAAAATTTCAGCCAGTTGTCAAGCCTCCTCCATCCATTGCTCACGGAACCGCCAAGCCTCCTCCAGAGTGGGGCCGCAAGACCAACGACGAATTGGAAGCGCTCCGCAAGAACTTGGAGCCCTTCAAATACATCGAGCATGAGAAGGTTGAAGGAGCTCGTCCTCCAGTCCAACCAATCCCACTGCAATTGCCCACTGATGACGTAAGTGTGGTCTATGTTACATCGCCATACATAGTATCTCTGGTAGCCCTAAAATTTAACTCTGTCACGATAGACGAAACTTATCGTATTTCATAACAATCTCCCGTCTAGTATTCACTCCAAATTTTCTGGATGAAAAATCAGCCACCTTTTGATTTGCCTACCTACTTGATCTACAGCCTCCCTTTTTATATTATCCATGGGACTTGCTGCTAAATTATCTTTTGTTTTTTTTTCAGTTCGAGACAAGTGCGCCCGCAGAGCCGGAACCGGTGGCCGAGGAACCGCCCAAGCCTGCACCCAAAGGCCGTGCTGGCAAGGTCTAGACCCCCGCCGCCAACTCCTCCGCATTTCAGCTGTCATCCTATTTCACCATGCTGATTATTTTATCTTTGCTCATAAATCTCCAAGCGCGTTAACTTTGACAATCTTTTTCCCCAACACACCATATCTCTTGGTTATTATTGATGCCGGAACAATTAGGCCGGCAGTTCCTGATCCGCCAGACAATCTCTAAATCAAAGTCAAATGTCTTTGAGATTTTTGCGAGGCAGAGAAAATAAAAAAAATGCAAAAAACCTAAAGGACATATGCCATGTCAGTTTGGAAAAACCTCCCCGACCTAACAGCTTGAATATGGGCGGTTTAGGGGTTCGGGCAGAGATGATGGGGACGAGGAGAGGAGAGGACAAACTTCCTTCATGACACAGACACTGTGTCCTGATCAGTCCGAAGACACAGGAAGCTGCCCTTGGGCCGGGCTAAGGACCCGGTGGTTGTTATTAAGTGCAAGAATCTCGGCGTATTTATATCTGAGATACTGTGGATTGAAGGATAAGCGAGGTGCTTGCGAGATCTGCTATTGTTTTGGACGAAAATATTTTTCGTTGGACTTTAACTTGAATAAACACTCTTTTTTTAGGTTATAGTTAGAAGCCATGTCTGACGAGGAGGAAATATAGTAAGTATTACAATGCTATACAGCTAAACAACTTTATTTTGCAGCAGCGAAGAGGAAGAGGAGGAAGAAGAAGCCGAGGAGGACGCTCCAGCTGAAGAAGCCGCTCCAGCCGCCGCTCCAGCTGCCGCTGAACCCAAAGCCGAAGAGCCTGAAGCCGAGGAAGGGGAGGAAGAGGGAGAAGAAGGCGATGAAGCGTAAGTTACAATAACACCCTCCTATACCATCAAACTCTCAGTCCTCCAGCCGAGGAGAAGCCCCGTGCTCGACCTCCACCACCTCCAGAAGAGGAGCGAGATCCCGCAACGATGACTGAAGCCGAACAAGCCATGTTGGCGGCCAAGAAGCGTCAAGAGGAAGAGGCAGAAGCCAAGAGCCGAGACTACGAACAGCGTCGCGTTCAAGAGATTGAACAGATTGCCAGAGAATTGGAGGAGTTGAAGCAACGACAAATTGAACGTCGACAACAGAGAGTTGAGGAAGAGGCTGAGTTTGCCGAACACAGACGTCAGGCAGAAGAGAGACGTCGTCAGGAAGAGGTAAGGGAATAAGTCATAATGACCACACACTAACAAAAAGTTAGCTAATCGACTTTGCAAAACCCAAGCCTCCCAAATAATTCCCCACCCTTCATTTAGGAAGAGCGCAAGAACAAAATCGAAGCCGAGAAGCGCCGTCGTGAAGAAGAGAAGCTGAAGCGTCAACAAATGATGGCCGGTTCCTTCGCCGGATTCGGTGGAGCCACCGAAGGCGGCCGCAACTTTGTCGTTAACAAATCCGCCGGAGGCGAACAAGAGGAAGGCGGGGACAAGCCGGCTGCCGGCCCCACTGGCCGTCGCGGACCCTCCAAGGAACAGTTGGCCGAGGCCAAGCGCAACTATTTGGCCTCGATCAACAAACCCCAAGATCTCAGCAACGTGTTGCCCAACGACATCAAGAACAAGATCAAGCAGCTGCACGCGAGAATCGTCAAGCTGGAGGGCGAGAAGTACGATCTGGAAAAGAGACACGACCGTCAGGAATATGACGTAAGTGATTGATCAAAGCCTCTCGGACAGAAATCTTGATTTTTGAACGCTTTGTCAATTAGAATACAAATCTTTTCAGCTCAAAGAATTGGGAGAGCGTCAGAAGCAAGCTGCTCGTAACAAGGCCCTCAAACGGGGAGAGGAAGTCACTGAGGAGGTCGGAAACTTGCCGGTAAGATGAGCGAAAAAATGCCATCCAAATCAACATTTTCAGTCCAAGATCAATGTTGCTTCCAAATTCGACCGTCAAGTGGACCGTCGCTCGTATGTCGATCGCAGAACCATGTTTGAGAAAGTAAGCCGGATATCTTTATGTTGTAGCAGATTTTTGACGTTATTTTGACCGAAAAACGCCTTCTGATGTAATGTTTTGGATAGAACCTGTTTACCAATGTCGGAATAAGGTGGAAACAGCATAGACGGCTATATCTATATTCAAAAAATTTTTTGTAGTCGAAAAGTGACTCCATTTAAAAGTTCTTTAGCTGCGTGTGGTCATATCTAAAGCTCTGCTTTTCAAATCAGTCACAGTTAACCCTAATATCCACTTACTAGGGAAGTGTACAAACGAACCCTCACCAAATGGCAAGTGTTATACACCATCGGAAAGCCCTTGAAAAATGGTGCAAGACACCATTTTCATTTTTTGCAGAATGCCTTTCCGCGACGACATACTGTAAATTTCATTATTTTTAGGTCATTTCGCAACAAAAATCTTTCTTTCTCTTGAGCGGATAAAAATCCTCGAAGAGGGTTGCTTCAATAGTGCAGTGGTTGCTGAGCAGGCTGATAAGCCAAAATTCGATTCCCAGTCTGGGCAAAAACATTTTGCGTTCTTACAGTTAGGATAATATTTGAGTTAAACTTTTACAAGCGCTTTAATTTTTCTAGAAAACGGTCGATTACGGTTAAGACCATCAAACTTACATGTTTTTCAAAATTAAAAAAAGTGAAAAATGTTTTTTTCACGTTATGGGTGCTTAAAACCAGTAAATATCATATGTAAAATGGTTTTACTGGCAAGCGCCAAACTTCATAATGATTCTTAGGCCAACCTAGTAGCAATATTTACCATTTAGCGTTTTGAAATAAGATTTATTTTGCCCCACAGCAGATATTGTAACTACTTAAGGGACAAATCAACCGTTTATAATTTTTTGCCCTGAGGCATTCTGCAAAAACTGAAAATGGTACCTTTCACCATTTTTCAAGGGCTTTCCAATGGTGTATAACACTTGTCATTTGGTGAGGGTTCGTTTGTACACTTCCCTAGTTAATTAAATACAGGGTGTACCAAATTCGGTGCCCGATTTGAATTGGCTATAACTTCTTTAATTTTGGGCCAAATTTAAAAATTTTTTTTCCCCTGTATCCCCAGACAACCCCATTTTGTCTGATACCAAATATGTCATACATAGGTAAGTGTCAGCTACAGGTATTGGATTTATTCTTGAAGTTCATTTTTTGGTCGTTTTTCGGTTGTTTTTTCGGCCTTTCCCGGTGTGTCCGAAAATGGAGTACGGTGTGGAAGAAAAAGCTTGGTCTGTGGTTTGGTATGGCAAATACGGTTCACCGATAAATGTTCAAAGGGAATACAGGATGAAATACGGACGTAAGGCCCAACCCAGATCGCAAGACATTTTGGCGTTGGTGGAATAGGTTCCTTGAGACTGGCAGCGTTAAGAGGACACAAAAAAAGCAGGAAAGATGGGTACGAACGTAGCTGAAAATGGAAGAAGTTTTGTCAAAATTCCGAGAAAATCCGCATATGAGTACACGAAGTTTGGCCAGAACCGAGGGAATGCCTTCACCAAGGATCATTCGACGAACTCTGGAGGTTGATCTTCACTTTTTGTTCTTATTCTCATCGTCGATTTTCAGGAGGGGAAATTCCATCGTATTTTTCTTCCGCACCGTACTCCATTTTCGGACACACCGGGAAAGACCGAAAAAACAACCGAAAAAATGAACTCCAAAAATAAATCCAATAACTGTAGATGACACTTACCTATGTATAACATATTTGGTATCAGACAAAATGGGGTTGTCTGGGGATTCTGGGGGAAAAAATTTTTTTAATTTGGCCCAAAATTAAAGAAGCTATAGCCAATTCAAATCGGGCACCGAATTTGGTACACCCTGTATTTTTTTGGCTAGAAAGACTCATCATCTATGACCTAATTCAACCCTTCAAAAATAATCACCCTCTATTTTTCAGCCCGTGGTCAAGCCCGCCCCATCGATTGCCCACGGCACCGGCCGTCCCCCACCGGAATGGGGCCGCAAGAACATTGAGGAGCTCGAGACTCTCCGCAAGAACCTCGAACCCCCCAAGTACGTGGAGCAGGTCAAGGCCGAGGGCGATGCGGCCCGCCCGCCCGTCGACCCAATCCCTCTCCAAATCCCGGCCGACGACTTCGAACCCGTCAAAGAAGTATGTTTATTCCTGCAGTTCGGCACGCCGAGTCGCGCCGCTGACAAGTACACGCCTTACCGGTTGTGGTACTAGTTGCCCAGTTTGCCACAAATATTTACTTTCTTTACACTTTGCACTGTAATTTTTCCCTCTATCCTAACCCGAGTGAAAATGGCGAAAGTGCGAAAAGAGTACTGGAAAAACAACTTTTTAGAAACCTTCAAAACATAAGTCATCCTTTCCAAAAAACCAGTCATTTTGATATTTTTAGGACAAAAATACTCCATAGGATTTAGTCACTTTAAACATATTTTTCGCTTGTTGTACATAAAATAGGTTCAGCTTATTTCATAAAAAAACGTCAATTTATATTGACCTAGGGTAGAAAATTACACTTTACCGAAGAAGTAGGGTAATATTTACTTGCGAAATACGGTGAAAATGAAAGTCTAGGGTAAAATCAACATATTTTACATACTTTTTGCATATTTTTAGGGCAAAGAGTTGCATATTTTTAAGGTCCAAACCTTGGTTGTTGGTTGTTCATTGTTGACTATGAATAAACTCATCCATCCTTTGTTTGTTGAAGTGGATTTCCTTGGTTCATACCCAAAATCTATCTATGCTATCTGTTTCCTTCTTTACTAACACGATATTTTGTATGCGCTTCCTGAATTCTCTTGCTTTTTTAACGTACTTTCAACTTTCAGGAAGCCCCCGCCGACGAGCCCGCCGTTGAAGAAGCCGCTGCCTAAAATACGACATTCTTATTTAGCCAAATTGTGCCAATTTCGAAGAATAAATGCTTTTACAAAGAGTGTTCAAATATTTGTATTTATTTTATATTATAGATCACGGCTGTCTCTGCAAAGCGCGAGCTCAGGAACTCGCCTGTCTTAAAAGAAATATCTGAATTTGTGCCAAGTTTCAATTCCGTCTATTATAGCAGCAATTAAGGGCATTTTTTTTTTGGCCGATGGACCGGAAAAATTCATATTATCAAAGAAATTATCTTTTATTCCAATCAAAAAATATGGTCTGATCGCGGTCGGATAAGAAGACTTATTGCTCCGGGAATTGAAGTTTGTATTGTTAAGTTGTGTAATTTTATTTGCTCGTTATTTTTTTATATACTGCACGGTGCAAAAAGCAACAGATTGCACAGTACAAGGAGGCCTTCTGTTTTCTCCTAGCGTGTGTACATGCGCTCAGGCTCTTTAAAGTCTTTCTAAAAGGGGGTTTTTTACTTGTAAGGAAGATTGGAAAGCCATGGCCAAAGTCGGTTGTCCCTCTGATCACCGTCCGCATTTGGAGCTCTCTCATGGCTCCTTTGTATGACACAACCATTATTTATTTCACAGGGGAAGTACTCCAAGTGCGACGTTCAGATTTTCTTTAAAATTCGCGCACACGTCGGGTATGGACTAAATATCAATTCCTGAAAGTTTTAGCTCGCGCTTTGCGGAGATATCGAACGATCTTTGCCGCCGAGAGAGCACGATAAACGTGGAGCGCGGTCAGAGAGAAAAACGCTTTTTGGCCATAACTTTGGCAGTTTCGTGCGGAAAAATTTGATTTTTTGTAGAAGAATTATCCTTCACGGTAGAAATATGCATGAAAATTTTCGTGCCGAAATTCGGCAAAAAGTCCTAAATTTTGGCCTACTTTTGAGCTAAAAATCTCGGTTTTTTCTGCAAAGCGCGACCTAGGATTCTCGCATATATTTTAGAAAAAATTATTATAAATTTGTGCCAAGTTTCATCAAAATCTGAGCGTCGCACTTGGAGTACTTCCCCTGTCAGTTGTGTCAGGAAATGAAGAGCAAAAATTTTGTTTTATTGATGCTAGTTTATTTGCTGCGACGACCCGCCGTGATTTTCCCGACAGACTGTTATGTAGATTTTTTGGGCCGTCGCTCGGACCCTGACCTTTTCGTACAATGGAAACGCCAAAAAATAGTCCGACGGCTTTCCGGAAGGACTAGGAACCGCTCATTGTCAGCTGGCTCTTTTGTAATAAAATTTCGAAGAGACCTGACATCCACAACTCGAGGGATTTCTCTTTCCTATTAGAGTCATTCCAATAATCTTAGCTTCTAAAAAATTAATATTAAAGCCCCACCTCACTTTCAATTCCTCCTATTTCCGTATTAAAACATTATCCTTGACCGCGTTCAACTCCATTTTAATTAAATTTCCCAACCTCCAGATTCTTTGTTTCGTCGCTAATCTCATCGTGAGTGACCGATTACCGGGCGCGGAGAAAACAATTTAGGGTTTCGAAAATAGAGTTTTTTTTTAGATTTTTTTGGAACCGCGAGCCCCCAAGATTAGGTGTGTTTTCCTGGAGATTAGGCCCAAAAAGTTTTTCGTTTTTTCGGCCGCTCTCTTTGCGTTTCGACAATTGGCGGAAATGGACGTTAATTTCGCAGAGGCTGTCCATTTTGACAGCTATTTTTTGAGATGGCTTCGAAAAATATTTATTGTTATAGGAATTTTTTTGATGTTTTCCTACTTTTTCGAAGTTTTCGAGCGCTTATTTTTCCAACTTTACCTTCGAAATTTAGTTTTTTTGGATCTTTTTTGCGTGTTTTTGCCACTAAATTTCTTCTTGGGCATACTGATTTTTCCGAGAATTTTGATACCTTTTGATACTTTTTGAAGGGTTTGACGGCCATGACACGGCCCAACAACTTTTATGGCACTTACCCTCTAAAACAGAACGATTTCCATCCAACGGATGAGGTGGATGGCGCTGGAAATGTGCGAAGTATTTTGAGGAAAGGGCATCGGGATTCAAGCGCAAGCAGAGGCTATTATGACATGTATCCGGAGCCGGCGATGACTCTGCCGAGAAAAGTGAGCATTCTGCTATCTTCTAGAATATGTTAAAAGCGCAATTTTTGGATATGTTTCTCAATATGTAGCAATTTTTATGATTTTCTTTTGAATTCCAGCCGATTTACCGAGAAAGCAAGCTTCGGGTCTTCTTCGACCGCCTAGTTCGACCGTGTGCCGCCGAATTTTTGGCCGTCTTTTTGTCCGTCTACATTTATAAACATATCGAGACACAGTTAACGGATCGACAAGTCCAGTTCTTCCTCAGAATCATCATTTTGTCGTTTACGGATGCTGCTTTAATGGGGATCTATCTGACTTCTTTTGGAACGTAAGTTTTTGAATCTTGCCCCATAGCTTAAAACTGCGATCTTTTTACGACCAGTCAAGGCGTTTTCACTAAATTTCAGAGTTCAAATGAGTCCGGCCATAACGTTGGCCCAATTATTTTCATTGAATACCCCCTGGTTCTTATGCATTTTCTTGTTTGCCATGCAATTTCTGGGTGGTCTGAGTGGGATCGGACTGTTCTATGTAAGTGATTTATGGTGATTGATAGTTAAAAATTGAGGAAAGTTTTTGGTTTATGGACAAAAATAGAACTTTTGGAATAAGATGAATATATTTTTAGGTAAAATACGAAGGATCCAAAAATGCAAAAAAATGAATAGAATTTTACGAATTTCAAAAAATGTAAAATACGGTTTGAACAAAAAAAAATATAAAATTATCTAATTAAAAAACGACCTTTCAGCTCTCTCACAGCGGAATGTTTCCCACCTTACCCAAACTTGTACTTGATATGGAAGGAGATTTCACTGGAAGCGCCAACGAATTGATTATTTGTCAGATTGCCGGGACCATTGGAGCCGTCATTAGTTACATGATGGTGACTCGGCCCGTTGGAAGTGAACGAGTCTACGTCTCGAGATTGTATACAAGCTCGGTCGGGCCAGTAACGGCGGTCGGTCTGGGCACATTTTTGAGGTGAGAACTGGAAGAAAAATTAAGATTATTTTTTGGGAATGGGCGTATTTTACCACAAGAAGTTTTTCCGAAAAAAGTTGATTGCAATTCTAAAATCAGAAAGATTTGGCTTATATTTACAGGGGAAGTACTCCAAGTGCGACGCTCAGATTTTCTTTAAATTTTGCACACATGTCGGGTATGGACTAAATATCAATTCCTGAAAGTTTTAGCTCGCGCTTTGCGGGCGCCGCCGATATATCGAACGATTTTTGCCGCCGAAAGAGCACGCTAAACGTGGAGAGCGGTCAGAGAGAAAAGCGCTTTTTGGCCATAACTTTGGCAGTTCCGTGCGGAAAAATTTGATTTTTTGTAGAAACATTATTCTTTACGGTAGAAATAGGCATGAAACTTTTCGCGCCGAAATTCCGCGAAAAGTCCTAAATTTTGGCCGACTTTCGATCTAAAAATCTCGGTTGTTTCTGCAAAGCGCGAGCTAGGATTCTCGCATATATCTTAGAAAAAATTATTCTAAGTTTGTGCCAAGTTTCATAAAAATCTGAGCGTCGCACTTGGAGTACTTCCTCTGTTTGATTGAATTCTTTTTATAAGCATTCTTTAATTTTGCCCGTTCTTACAATTATCGGCAGCGTTTTTTCAAAAATAAAATACGCAAAGACATGAATAAACGCTTTTTTTCTCAAAGATCTGGCTAAAATGCTTGACGTATTTTACTTCAAATTACATGTAGATTACTTCGAAATTTAGAATGCCAATTTTTTGCAAATATTTTTCAGTTTACTCCACTCGAATATCCCTTGGAACCCGGTTAACGCATTTTCCTTGACTTTGTTCCACTTTCTTCGAGGAAATAACGCATACGTCTGGCATAATCATTACGTCTACTGGTTGGGGCCGGTCCTCGGATCATTGGCTGCCTGTTTTTTGTATAGGTAATTTTTTTGTCATTGGATTTTTAATTGATTCATATTATTTTAGGTTCATTTTGGCACCAAGAGAGAGCCGCGAGCGAATTCGACCGTTGAATCTTCCCAGACCCGAGCTTTTTTAGATCCTCACTTAAATTTATCATGTACATAAAGATATCGGATAAGGAAAATACGAATTTTTAGATGTTTTCAGATTTCAATTTTTAAAATTTTTGAAAAAATAAAAAATAAATTTTATGCAAGATTTTCAAAAATATTTACAATTACCATTTAATAAATACTTGTAGGGTAGAAATGATTTTTATGTTGAGGTGAGAGATGGCCAGAAGTGTAATAAATCCCGCCAACTTGCGAGTTTTCACTCCCATAGATTCCATGTTGATATAACGGCGTCTTTTTCTTCTTAATAAACGAATGTAACAGGTAGATGATGCTGACAAATATTACTAGCACAACGAAGAGTCCAAGCAGTCCTATGGCCCAGCCATAGCCAACCGAACTTCTGGCCAAATCCTCGATCCCACAGCAGCCATTCGGGCAACAGCCGAGATCACAGATCAACTGGATCGGCTGGGGGCTTCTGAGTTTTCGGTAATGGCAAAGAAATTGATTGTCTGAAAGGAAGGAGGTGAAATACGAATATTGCAGAACGGAGAATTTCAATTTTGGCAAGGTGATCTGCAACGCCGTATTTGCCTTACAGCTGTAAGAAATCTCTGTGCGAACTAGTCTACAACGATCTTTTTATAGCAAACAATTCGAAATTTCTCATCCGTAAATCTTGGACTAAAATTTTGGACCATTTCCACTATTACGCTAACAAATGTAAGAGCAATAGCCCATTTTTTAAACCTCCTGCCAAAATTGTGTCTTTTTTCATATGTATAAATAGTGATGGTAAAATACGGAACAGAAGGTCTAAAAATCTTTTTCAGCGTAAAGATACGTAATTGCAAACAATAAAAGAATTTTTTCTTACCGGGTAAAATTTCTTGTCGGACGAACGACTCGATCATCTGTTGGACGGAATTTGTTGCAGTAGGTTCAAGAGTTCTGAAAAATAATGGTAAAATACGGCTGGAGCTCTTCGCACTACAATATTTAAAAATCCTACTCCAAGAAAAGATTATAACTGTTATACGAAAAATTATAAATTACTGTTTGCCAAATGCTCACAAAAACGCGTCGTAATGAGAGATTTTTTACTCTTGGAAATCAGAAAATTGATGGAATACTTTTGAATTATGTATAATATAAAAAATATGAAATTTGTATGTATTAAAAAACGTAAGGAGGCGAGGCTGGTTAACTACAATTAAAAAAAAATCTTATTGTTTTACGTTTTGTTCAGCAGTGTACATAACAAAAGATCACAACTCACGTCGTAGCAATTGCCATTCGTTGCAGCTCCTGCTCGGAATGGCCGAGGTTCTCCCAACGCGAACCCATTCTCCACCACCACTCATTCACTTTGGAAGACGATTTTTTATTCAAGAAATAAAGCAAAAACGGATTTTTTGATCGGGTCAACTGGTCAGTGTCCTTTTGCTTTGTCCCGCGCGACCTTCTCAAGAGTTTTCGCTCGGGGCGGTTTAAATACGAAATAGCCATGTTGTGGGGTGCGTGAGGTTATCTAAGTGAAAAGGCAAACAGCGAAAGGCATGGCTGTGTTTGATCGGCCACTTAAGCGCTTCGCAGGCTACAATTGGTGGGCGAAAACATGATTTTAGCGGGATTATTAACATAAGAAGTAAATAAGGATTAGATTACGTCATAGTGGGATGACTCATGGGAAAAATAAAGACCCTTGTTTGAGCTGATTAGAGGAGAATTAGACGTAAACTGTACCATTTTAAAGCCTTGGTATGTAGTGCTAAACCCGGTTTAATGCATGATATTCGGTTGTCCCATAAATAATGACTCTCTTTAAGAGGTGCAAAGTTGAAAGCCTCTAAAAAAGCCAAGCCATTTTACGAATAGGATCAGAGATTGCCACGGTCAAAATGTTGGCTCCGGCTCCGGCTCTTGGCTCCGTGCAAAATTTAGAAAGGCCTCCGGCTCCGAATCCCGGCTCCTATGCAAAATGTTTTTTAAAATTATTTTTCCAAAAATAAAAGCTATTAGTGCCAGAAATCATAGAGCCAACGTTTTTGCAGTCAAGTCACATCCTCCGCAGTGTTTTTCAAGCAATTTGGTTTAACAAGATCACGAAATTTTTACTTTTCTGACCGCTGGGAAGCCTGGCTCCGACTTTGAGCTCGGGAGCCGGAGCCGACCCCAAAATTTCCGGCTCCGGCTCTGGCTCCCGGCTCGGAGCCGTGGCAACCTCTGATTAGGATTACAATTTTGCTCCCGTAATCCGCGTAGTATGAGAGAAATTTTGCATTGACAGCTCCCTGGTGAAGATAAGTACACGAATCTATTGAATTTGTCCATCACTTTCAAAGCAATGGGAGTTCGTTCTCAAAAAATGATAAAAATGCCTAGTTAGCCTTGTCGTAATTATCCAAACCATTTATACACCAGGAAACATAATTCGCAAGATCTAACAGCCAAATCCATCGCCTGACTTTTCTGTTGTAAGCGAATGTTGGCTGATTTTCAAACATGAGACCGGTTGTTCAGAAGCAAATTTCTAATTTTGAACATGTCATGTTCAAAATTTTGGGCCAAATTTTTTAGAAATTGATGTACTCCAGGCACGTCGTATTTGCAAAATTTTAAGAAAATCGGCAACTTTTTTGTGAATGAGCTTTTAAAATTTCCCTTTGTGAATGAAATATGATTTCAAGAAATCCCGTATTTTAAAAAATGGTAAAAATTTATTGAACACACCAAAAATTCGTTTTTAACTCATAGTTAAAACATATTCGTATTTTGAAGAATAAATAAAAAAGCAATCGGATTGCAGACCGTTATGAGAGATAACCGAAATCTAAACTAGCGAAAATTGCAAAAAAAATCAGTAAAAATTTGGAAAAGTCGTTGAAATACCAAAAAGAATGGGCTGGAAGACGTGATAACTCAAATCAAACTTTAGAAAATATATACTTCGAAATCGCATAAAGTCTTCTGGAAACTGTTGTCATCATGCGTTGGAATTGACGCTTTGACGGGATCTGGCTGGACTGTTGTTCTCTTCTCCGTCGTGCAACTTCTTGCGGGTCAAGTAGCCTCTGGAAACGGAAGAATGTAAAAAATGAAAATTAAATAATGTAAAAATTGTAAAATTTTTACTTATAAGATAGTAATGGAAAAACTTGTATCTTTATTTGAACTTTTGTAAACTTCTTGTCCTACTGTAATAAAAAAATTAACGACAATAAGTTTGAGTTGCCCTGAAATTGACTTTTGTGCCAACTAATTGTTTGTTATAGACGGGTTTTTAAATATAATAGAAATTTGATGTTACAACTATATGTACTTTATACCTGCCACAAGATCTTACGGTTGCAAGCAAAAAATTCTCGTGATTTTTATTTGATAAAGGAATAAATGAATAGATTATGAGATAAGAGTTGATTGGAAGGTAGATTATTTTGAGTAGGTTTTCTTTATGTGTATGGACTTCTACGCTGTGATAAGAATAATTCTGTGTAAAAATATTTCAATGAAAAATATTAAAATCAGAAAAAAATGAGTTTACGATTTCTTCAAAACAAAAGGGTTCATTAGAAACGATTTCTTTCATTCCCTTTTGTAAAAAAATCAAGGTACTGGAAAGAAAAGGCCCCTGACGGTGGCGGAACTGATCCAGTGGCAAAAAACGTACCATTTTGCACCTAGGAAGTATCAAAAAAGTAGCAAAATCCCTCCCTCTCCAAGCGAAAAAAATCCGATTTCAAAAGGGAGTCATTTTGCCATATTTTTTGATCCTTCTCGGATGCAAAATGATACGTTTTTTGCCACTGGATCAGGTCACTGTATGGTGAATGAGAGTCAAACTTCAAAAATTTTCGTTTTTAAAATACGCAATCGGCCCCCTTTCTTTCGTAAGTTCTACTAAACTTCCCAATTCCAAATCTCCTCTTACCGAATATGGGCTTGAATTTTGGTGGCCGCCTCCAAATTCTTTTGTTTCATAGCTTCCACATGCCTTCTCGCCAGGTACCCTCTGATCTCGGCCTGAATCCTCGTGGCCGCCCGATCGTCCGGAGAGTTGGTGATGGTCTCCAGACTGTAGCCGCCGACGGAATGTCGTCTAAAACGAAGGAGTTTTGCAAGCGGATTATCGGCGGAAATACATATGTATTGGATTAATTGGAGATAAAAATTTAATTAAAGATCTATTCTGTTTATGACTTACTTGAGATCCTTTTTGTTGTCGGATGACAGTAGTCGGTCGGTGGAGCTGCGGCGTGTCAAGTCCGTTGTGTCGAGGCCAAACTTCTCGGGGTGATTTCGCACCTGAAAAGAGAGGATTATGGCCAAGAATTGTAGCACAATATTTTTGCAGATAGATAAAATAAAGAAATTTTTTTTTTGTTTTGAAATTCATTACACAGCGATAGCTTTAAGCCTAAAGAAGCTTACAAAAAAGTATTCCAAGCCCTCTTATTTCCTTTAATTTTCCACACGCTTTTGCCATGTATTGGGTCGTCCAGAAAGTTTGTTCTTTTTTTTACTTTTTTGTAACAAACAAATATAAACATACACTTCCGAACAACAAAAAGTTCTTGTATTATAAAACATAATAATAAAAAAACGAACTAACTTTCTGAACGACCCAATATCAGTTTCCAAAAGCCTCAACTCGCGTTTTCAAGCGCAACCGAGTTATCCACTTATCTTTTCTGAGGGTAGAGTACGTGAATTTCATAGAGCGATCAGCACGAAAGAGGCAGTTTCACCATAATTTTGCTAATGTCGAATTGAGAAAATTTAGTGTTTTGTGGAAATGTCATATGTTCTAGTAGGAATCAGGCTGCACACTACATGGTAAAACTCACAAAAAACAAGAGTAAATTTTTTGTGAGCTTTCGAGAGTAATCTCGTGTACTTTTTAGCTGCGCCAAAAAAATTGTGGCCTGCAAGGATACATGAAGAATTAAGCTCCCTGGATAGACCATTAGCACAAATTTTGGAGGACTTCTAACTGTCGCACCTTGAAAAACACACCCTTTAGGAAAAAAATAAGAAAAAATAAATTCAAATTCAAATGCGTCATCCCAACCCCTAAACGCTAACACCCAAAACTCTCCAAAAACCTTACAAAATGCCCTCTGTAAGCGGCTTGAATCTTGGTCGCGGCCATTTCCGCGGGAGTGGCGGGCCGGCTGTTGTTGGAGGAGCCGGGAGCCGATGGCTGTTGCACTTGCATGATGGTTCTCGCCGTTCCCGACTGTCGTTGGCTGGGCGGCTGCGAGAGCTGAGAGCCGAACTTGGAGCTTGTCGTGGAGTCGGGACGAGCCGACACCTTCAACTTGGGCGCTTTGGAGTTGGTCTGAAGGGCCGAACGGAACGCGTAGTACGCCTTTTCGTCGTTGATAACGTCGGCTCTGGGGTGTTCTGAAAGAGAGCGATTTTTTGAGAAAGTTTGGCGAGTTTATCTCATAAAATGGGGATTGGAAGGGCAAATTGAGATTTTTAAGACATTTCTAGGATACCCGGAAGACTTTTTTATGTAGCAATATCATCAAAAATGTCGTCACAAAATATAAATTCAATTTTTTATTAATTATCTTCAAAATAAGGTCAGAAAAACACGAAATGTCGCAGTAACAAGAAGCCAGTCAACTTTTGTTTACTGTTTTCTCCCGTCGAGGAAGTGCGAAATGTCTCAAATTTAGTTATGTCCCGAAAAATGAGAAGTCAAAGATCGTATGATTAGTACTCATTTTTAATCTGGAGGGCCATTTATCCTTAAATTTCCCTATTTCCTTGTCTTAAATTTCTATGAAAGGATGAAAAAGTCCAAGTTTCAAACAGCTGAATAAAAGATTTGGCTATTTTTGAACTCTAAAGGCCTAAAAGAAGAGCCGTTCTAAAAAACTGACGCAAACCCTTTTGTCTGTTCGACCGTGAGTTACTCAATTATTCGCAAGGTTAAACGGTTGAATTTAGAGAGCCAGACGTCAAAATTCAAATTTGATATGGGTAAAGTTTGATGATCAGAGACCGTATAGCATATCGTCGTAAAAAAAGCAAAAAAAAGTATTATGTATTAGGGTGTCCCGTAAGTCCTGTTCTTTTTTTGTGCAAATTGCTGTGAGCTTTGAAACGCATTACGAGATATGTTGAACAAACGGTTTTGAAGCTCAGAAATTGCGCTTTTGAACCGTATATGACGAGGCTGTAAAAAATCTACCTGCTACCCGCACAACCCAAATATTGTACTAGACATTAAAAAATTTTTCCTTGCTGATGTTAAAATGGCTATATACATTGGAAGATTATACCTGTACGCCTACTAAACGTGAAAATGGGACGCAAAAGAGCCCTAGATATTATTTTAATGAGCGATGCAGCACAGACACTAATAAAGAACAAATTTGGTCAAAAAAATCGTCGTGGAGGCTCAAAGAAGGGTCTCCTTTGAAAAGTACTCAAAAAGTATCCCGTAAACAAATTTCTCAAAAGAAACTTTTTTCCTCGACGTTTCATAAATAAAAAAAGCAGAAATACAATTTAGATTACTCCATTCGAATAGCGAAAATCCTAATCTATCTTTTGACACCGGTAACAAAGTTTTCTCATCCCTTTACAGAGACCGTATTGAATTTTCCCCAAAAAGCAACTAAAGAAGCCTCAATAAAGCCCGAATCTAAAGTCGCCACGTTCAGTGTGTGCCTCAAAAAGTCTCAAAACGTTTGGCAAGACAATCTTATATATGAATAACAAGTTAAGCCCCTTTTCAGGGGAACGGCCTGCGGGTGGAGAGGAGTGGTACTCACAAAAAGATGATAAAAGCCTCGAGATTGAAAGTTGTATAGTATTGGTGGCAATTAAGTTCTCAATAGTCATAGAAGATTAAAAAGCTAGGGATTCAAAGTTTTGAGGAGAAAAATTGGTGGAAATGGATAAATTGTCTAGGTTTACTATATATAAATAAGGACATAAAGCACCAGTCGGAAATGATTTCGCAATTGTTTCGCTGGACTTTGAACGGATGTTAAGGAGGAAGTCTGGTGGAAAAATATGGTCATTGGGAGCAAGAAGCAAAGATTGATAGGAAAAGTCTGGAGAATTTGTCTCTAGCATTATACGATAGTTAGCCGGTAATGTAAAAAATCAATGAAATTGTCAAAAAAATGTAGTTTATGTATGGTATCAGAAATTTAATTGAGGGTGTTGAAAGAAATTGACATGAATTTTACAAACATATATTATATGTTGGCTAAGAAAAACTGAGTTTAACGATGAACTCTCAATTTTTTTTTATTCCAAGAGATAGCTCATTTTCGGTCTTTATCTTGGCCTTTGTGTCAAACAAACCGGTTTGTCGCTCAACAGACGCCCTCGCTAAAAGCCGAGCACAAAGGGCAAGCTGAATAAAAAAAAATTTTCCTTGATAAAATGAAAGGCTTCAAATTTTATGCAAAAATCGCAATTATTAATACGACAGGCGATCGTCATAAGGCAAGTTTTATGCTATTATAGGACGTCTCTACCGAACATATTTGTATGTATAGACTACAAACAAATTCTGAAGCCGTTAAAATGCATTAACATAATGCGCAAAAAAGAAGGCCTTATACGTGACATAAACAATTTTTCCTTGTCTGTCTGCTCCCTACATACAGCGGTTCAAGCCAGCGGATCATTGAGTAAATCCTATAAGCTTACGGCTGACCAGGCCGACCACAAATCTTTTTAAACTTCTTATTGTCTTTTGAGGTCACGTTGCTTAAAAAAGGACTAAATTGAGGAAGTACAACAAAGCCTGTCTTTTGTAAATCCCTTTAGAAATCACAAGAGTCAATTTTAGGCCACAATAAGCCTCTGTACTACCAAGCCCTTCTACCACCTAAAAGCTTCTTTTTTTTCTTGCAATGGGTCGTTCAATGTATCGAAATTAAGTCATCAAACAAAGGATGTATATACGGCGAAAGCTGGAGAGAGAAGATATTTTTAAAAGGCTTAGGTGTAAATTTGGCATCAAAATAATAAAAATGATGACTAAACTTATCATACTGAATTTTTGACCGATTAAGCCTTCATTTTTGACGTATAACAAAATTAGAGACCCTCATATATACTTCTTTAAACAGTAAACACCAAGTTGAGTAGCTCGCTCTCCACCCCCACCCACCCCAGCCCATGTTTTGTTTACATTGCATTACTTTCCCTGCTAATTACAACTTAATCGCATGCTGAAAGCGAAGCCGGAAAATACTCGAATAAGACTGTGGAACTGAATAATTCAATATCAAAACATCTGGGGCCTGTCCCACTAACAAAGCGTAGCGCGAATCACGAATTGGAAGCGCGAAAAATCATGCAAAAGCGAGAGAGGTGAGAGAAAAAGCGGGCTCTCTCGGAAATCCGCGCTACGGTTTTTTTGTGCAAAATACCGAAAATTTTTTACTTTTTTTGCCGTAACTCCTTTCAGTGATGTCCGATTTACATGATTTTAAAAACAGTGAACAGAGGAGACCCACAGCTTCTAGAAAATGTAAATTTTGTTTGCTTTAACGCGGATTAAGGCTCCCCGCCAAGACGAATTACAATTTCCTCATGGAAAATCATGATTCGAAGTCATATTTTCAAAAAAACTTATCCTTAGCTATTTATCGTAACTCCCAAAGCTTATATGCGAATTTATCAACCCGAGCTGCCCCTCCCAAGCCCAATTTTTGGTCTCCCCTTGCCATATGAAAGCAACTTTTTTGTTATAAAACGAATTATGACAAGGGGTGACTAAAATTGGGTGTAAGAGGGGTAGTTTGGCTTGAATAGTTTGTTTCAACGTCTCTGAGGAATGAGTGGAGAATTTATCTATAATTTTTTTTCCAAAACAAACCTTTTTGTCACCGAGCAAATTATGACAAGAGGAGACCAAACATTGGGCTTGGGAGGGGCAACTCGGGTTGATAAATTCGCATATGAGCTGTGGAAGTTAAGATAAATAGCTAATGATAAGTTTTTTTTGAAAATATGACTTCGAATCATGATTCTCCATGAGGAAATTGTAATTCGTCTTGGCGGGAAGCCTTAATCCGCGTTAAAGCAAACAAAATTTACATTTTCTAGAAGCTGTGGGTCTCCTCTGTTCACTGTTTTTAAAATCATGTAAATCGGACATCACTGAAAGGAGTTACGGCAAAAAAAGTAAAAAATTTTCGGTATTTTGCACAAAAAAACCGTAGCGCGGATTTCCGAGAGAGCCCGCTTTTTCTCTCACCTCTCTCGCTTTTGCATGATTTTTCGCGCTTCCAATTCGTGATTCGCGCTACGCTTTGTTAGTGGGACAGGCCCCTGAAATTACATTTCCCACATTTCAGCCACCCATTTCTCGCCGTTAATAAATAATAAAATTCGGGACCGCCACCTTCCAGAAAGATAAGGAAGAATCCGCTAATCCGGCCGGATAAATGGCGAGGACTGGCGAATTTTGGGGGTTTAGAAAATTGTAAAACGCCGGAGAATTGGAGGTCCACACTAATTAGTCGTGAGTAGACAATGCGGATAAAAGTGAGAAAATGAGACTTCGAGAGATCAAATTATGTTGTAGTAGGCGAAAAGTGAGGGAAGATGGGGGAAATTGAGCTAGTTTTAAATAAATAAAAGTATAGAAGGCAAAAAAAATTGTTTTTGGACAATTGTAATTTATTCTGGCTCTGTAAATAATCCAAAAAAATACAATTTGAGAGATCAAATTATATTGTACTTGGTAAAAAAAAGTCTCAAAAATTATTGGCAACATGGGAATTTGGGTGTCAAATGAGCTGTTGTGGATGTGTAATGGACATTCTGGGATTTTTCTCGTGGAAAAATCGCAAAAAATGATGATAAAAATGATGAACACAGAAATTTTGATAGACAATAGGCAAGATGTATAATATTTTATCTCTAAACTCATATGAAATCAGAATATCCGGTTTAGAAGCTTCTAGAAGTCAATAAAATTTATAAGAAACTTCTGTAGAGGTCAATTATAGCCCCGAAATGGAATCTGCATGACGTTTCCAGCCTCATGTGGCTAAAAATGAGTATTAATTCGATGGTAATGCCCCCAATTCTCCCATTATAAATAATTCCGAGACATTTCACAAGAAACTGCATTGTGCAGTCAAAAAATAAATACTAGTCGCGGAAAAAAGTCCTGGGATTTTTCTGCGACTCTGCACTGTGCATGAACCCGAAAAGTGCTTTTGCACAGTGCAATTTTGTTGATTTTGCCTTATTGTCGCGCGCGATCCCCGCGACAAATCAACTTTTCGGAGCGCGACGGAATTTGGGGGGCGCGAGAAAATCCCAGGACTTTTTTCCGCGACTAGTAGTAGGGAAAGAAATTACGTGATGAGACAAAAATATTTACAATTGGTGAGCGCACTGTGCGTTTGCCTGAAAAAAATGTGCACTCGGTGTTTGAAAATTTGTTTCACAGTGCAGCCAGAAAAAAGACAAATTTTGCCTGCACAATGAAAAAAGAAGCGACAAAGGTCGCGGCGCACAGTGCAGAAGAAGCGACAAAGGTCGTGGCGAACAGTGCAGAAGAAGCAACAAAGTTTGTGGCGCACAGTGCAGAAGAAGCGACAAAGTTTGTGGCGCACAGTGCAGAAGAAGCGACAACGGTTTTGGCGCACAGTGCAGAAGAAGGCGACAACGTTTGAGACGCACAGTGCAGAAGAAGCGACAAAGGTTGTGGCGCACAGTGCAAAAAGCAAATTGCGACCTTTTGCACCGTGCAGAGATCAAAGACAAAAAAGCCGCGCAGTGCGGAAAATTTTGACTCATCTTTCTCTTGCACAGTGCAAAAAAACCGCTTCATTGCACTGTGCAGTCGCAAAAAGTGTAAACATTTTTGGTCGCACCGTGCGTAGAAAAAAATCTCGCTGCACTGTGCATTCAACTCAAATTCCATTGCACAGTGCATTCCGCGAAACGTAAAAAATCGCACAGTGCGCTCGTAAAAGCCAATAAAGTAAAAATGATCGCACCGTGCAGTCCGTGAGCGCTCTCCGAAAGCACATGGCGTCGAAAAAAGTTCTTTTCGGAGGAAATAAATTGCGTAAATTTATCTCCAGATGCCTTGTTTCGGATGTTATATGAGCGGGGAAAACACAGCGTCTTCGTGGGTGAGGGCGAGAGATACGAAGAGCCCTATCCGAAGGAATATATAGGCAAATTTGAAGGGGGAAAAAGGAAGCCGAGGTAATCACGTTGTACGGTCCGTGGGAGGGACGAGTTTTCAACGAGTTTACGGGGAAATAAATAGATACATAGATAGTAATATGGAAATAAATTTTTTTTGAAGATATGTGTCCCTAAAATAGCAGAAATCGTATTTTAAAAAATCTGAAAAAATGCCAATAACGATGATAAATCATTTCCTAAAAGTTTTAGCTACCGTTTGCAGGGCAGCCGAGATATTCGACGATCTTAGAAGACGAGAGACAATGGAAAATCGGGAGAGACGTCCAGAAATAAATATAATATTTTCGGCCTTGAGCTGCAAAGCGAATGAAGAAGCTCTCCTGCATTCAAGACGAGTACCCCCAAGAAAAGTCGATTATTTTGACAGAACAAACCTTGTTACACGGTTAAAATTGAAGGCATATTTTCGACTCAAAAAAATGTTAATTTGTCAGCATTTTTCGTCTCGAAATCTTACTTGTTTCTGCAAAACTGCAAACATAATATCTCAGTATTACTTTCTAAAAAGACTAATCAAAATGTAGACTATTTACTACTAGACTTAGATGTTTTAAACTTCTTATTTTGCCTCAAAAGATTGCATATTCTCACAACATATTAGGTTGAATGAAAAGTTGTGACCATTTTGTTGCAAAAGTTTGAAGTCGATTATTTTCTAGCTCAGATCCCTCCTTCTACCAACATACATATAGACTAATAGAGGGCTTATCGAAGCTTCATTTAGGGTGTATTGCTAAGCCTTACGGCATAGCCGAGATTTTCTATAACTAAAATCTCGGAAGTGCCCCGATTTCAACAGGGTACAAAGCAATTCAGGTCTTTTACTCTCCGTGAAACTTGTAGAGTCAAAATCCCTCGCTCCAATCCACCCACCGACTAAATTTAGGGCCAGGAACGAGAAGAAATTGGCCCAGATCGCTGTAAATACGACCATGTGGATGGTGTTGTCACGCAAACTTTTCCCTGGCAGACAGAGAACAACAGGGCTTATGGCGTCAAACACCGACGAAATGGGATTTATAAATGGCAACTTGATATATTATGATAAACGATCGACGCACATAGTACAAGTATTATTTTTAGGTTTCAATAACAACGCTTGTTATGTAAAATTTTATGTTTTAATAGTGGGAGATGTAAGAGTGTAAGAGTTAATGTGTTATATTCGAAAAAAGGCAATGACGTTCAAGGTAATTAGAGGTAATTTCAGATTGTGCAAGCCGTAGAGTAAGAGTACAGCAAGTTTTTTTTAATAAGATGAAATTTTATTTGCTTGTGGACTAGGCAAGCAGTTCAAACATCAACCAGCTGAGTAAAAAATAAGGAACAATACGAAAATAAATTTATTCACCAGCCATGGATAAGTAGATTAAGGCATTTAAAATACGATTCCTGTCTACACAAGTAAATTTGATGTCATCGAAAAACGGATAGAGGAAGTGAAGTGTTCAATGTACGGTGATAAACATACGATGACAAATGCCGTACCACTTTACAAGAAATATGTGACATTTTTAGGTCGCGATATGCGGAAGGCGCGGAATTATTTTCCGAAATTTTATGAGCTATAAGAAGGCACACGTTTGGGCCGCGACCCTTAGAGTTTCTTTAAGTCCTTCGCTTATGTACCACAGATCATATCCTAAAAATAGCTTGCCCTTTACAAGGGTGTCCAAGGTATTCAGCCATCTTTTCCAACGATATAGTGCGCGAATTGCGGCGAGTTGTTAGAGAGAAAACGGTTATGGCCATATGTATCTTTGATACATAATTTCGAGCGGAAAAACAGTGTTTTTGTATGAACTTTGCCCTCTTTGGTAAATTCAGTTTTTGGCATAAACAAAAAACTTTTGTCGCAGTCTCACAAATTTTCAAGAAAAAAATTTGTTATGCGAAGCAGGACCAGGGATGCAAAAGATGCCCGATAAATATTCAATCCACCTTTTGGGCCAGGTTTTGCCTCAATCCACCGCCGAACATTCAGCACTTCGCTATCATATTCACTCTTACAATTAGTCATATCAGAAGCTTCAAAAGTTTTCTGCTCGCTGAAATTTCAATACTATAAAGAATACACTGTCCACGTTTTGCTCGAGTTATCAACCTGTCTTGCAAGTCATCATCCTAACTCTCCCCCGCCAAAATAAAGTTCAAGTGGCTAGAACTCGCCTCCCCTACATACTCGGAAACTTTTCATCCTTTTTACATCTAATCCTTTGATACGAGACGCACTTGAAAATAAAAATAGCCCATTTTGACCTTATAACCCTCCTCCTTTTATATGTAATGCAAACTGAATAGGACGTCGAAAGCGCAATTTACATACGCAGCGCAACGGAAGTCTTTACGGGAGAGTAATAAAATTTTACGACTTGTCAATATGGTTATCAAAAAGAGGAATGGGAGCACGGAATGGGAGGGCCTAATTTGGAGAGCTGTGTGTTTTGGATGTTTAGAATAACAGGGGTGTAATAAGGGGAAAGTAGAGCTATCATTAAGAACTCATAGGCTGAAAGTTTTGGCCTGGAGAGGAAACGGAAATTGGAACAGAGTTGGAAAACAAACACGGTAGGCTACACACAATGTGAGCGATAAAATTTAAAGTGTTTTACCCCAACAATCTTATCGGTAGAGTATCAAAATTTGTTGCTTTCTTTACTGCCCGAGGGTGTAAAGTGCAATTAAAGAAAATGTAGAATTTCCAGAAGTTTTTCGTGATTATTGTAATGGAACATAACATTCTATGTGCGTGGTAAAAAACCAGGATATAACGCAAATTACTTCAACACATTTTTTGTTGTAAACTTCCTTGATATTCAAAGGCTTTCGTGCCATAAGGCTTCAGTTTTTTGTTCCGGCCGAAAGTACAATAATACAATTTCAAAGACGGAAGTAAAAAAATGCCATAAAAACAAAGAAAAAATACGTTATATACAGACAGACAAAACCTCGAAGTTGTATGGAAGGAATTGTAAAAAATTACGTATAAACTGCCAATAAATAAATAAGTTAAATTTATATCAATGATTGGCTGCAGTTGTTTATGTGCGGGTTGGATCAAACTGATGTCATGATTGTTCATTGTAAACGTCATAGAAAGAAAGGACAGGATATAGAGAGCTTAGGGTCTCTTTTGGGATATAAAATACAATCCAACCTCTGTAAAAAGTGTTGCAAGGGGTCTAAAAATTTATTCGCTATAGAAAGGTTTTTTGCATAGAAGTTTACCATGGCCTAAGCTTGTTTCCAGGGATCGCAAAGATAGTTTTAGACTGGTTTTGTTGTACGTGAGTTTGTTGTCGTCGGTTCTAACGTATTTTTCTCCGATTTTAGCCAAAACCCGATAAGCTTTTACCATTTCAGAGTGGACTATGACATTTTTTAACACAACAGTGAAATTCGCAATCACACTGATAGCAATTAAGACCATAAAAGATCATAAATACCTTGATATTCCCATTAATTGCACTCCAAACAGGTCAAATACTGACCCGAAACGCAATAATATTTTTACAACCTTCTTATCAATATTTCCTAGCACTTATCCACACCACGGATTGTTAATATTGTTTTTGAGCGCCATAAAAGGCGATAACAATCCCCGAAAATAATAATAACATAATAAAAAGGGCCGAACAAAAAAATAAAAAATCTCAGAACCAACCTTTCTGGATGTCTTGCAGCGTCTCAAAGAACAGCCGGCCAAAGGCAATCAAGTCCGAGGGCTGATTGCGCAACGTTTCGCGGGTGAACGACTCCAGCAAAGGCCGCAGCTGGGCCGGCACCTTGTACTTGGTGGACGTGGAGTGGTCCGTCATTCTCCTCTCGCCTCTCTCTCTGGTGTAAACGCCAAGTTTCGCCTGTAACGGTCATAAATTATTGACAAAGTGCGGGCCTAATTCCCCCCACTTTTTCGAACTATTGCATAACATTAAAGCGGAGGGCGTTGTAATCAAAGGAAATTGAGTTAAGAAAAAAGAGATCGACTCCGGCGACGAGATGAATAAATTGGCGAGGAATTTGATGGATGAACTGTGGTCTCGATTATGGTAAAAAAATAAAAAATTGAAAAAAAAAATTGAACTTTTTTTGCACATTGAAAATTTTGAAAGAAAATGCACAGTGCAAAATTTGGCACCAGTTTGCCAGCTCTTCCGGAAAGTCGCAGGACTGAAATCAGCGACACGCACTGTGCGAAAACAAAAGGTTCCTTTGCACTGTGCAATTTTTTGCTTTTTGCGCCGTGCAATGGGTTTTTTTGGGCTGTCGCTCGCACCCTGACTTTTTTCGCACAGTGCAAACGCCAGAAATCACTTCTGCGACACGCACTGTGCGAAAACAAAACTTTTCTTTGCACTGTGCAATTTTCTGCTTTTTGCACCGTGCAAAAAGCTTTTTTGGGATGTCGCTCGCACCCTGACTTTTTCGCACAGTGCAAACGAAAAAAATCAGTCCGGCGACTTCCCGGAAGGACTAGTGAAAAGTTTGCACTGTGCAGAATTTTGTAGATTTTATGTAGACGAAATTTTACAAAGAAAAAATTGGCAAAAAACTGCACTGTGCGAAGCGTAAAAAAATAACCGTAAGGTACAAAAATTGGAAAAAATTGCACAGTGCAAAATTTCAAAAAAAAAAAAAAAATAATAAAAATTTATTTTGCACTGTGCAAAATTTCAAAAGCGCACTGTGCAATTAATTTTTCTAATTATCGCACAGTGCATCCCACAAAACAAAAATTTGAAATCTCTGCACAGTGCAGAATTTATAATGACATGTATAAAATGCCATTAAAAATGAATATCACGACCTGCCGATTATAATATAAAATCACGAAACGAAAGCGAAACAAAACTATTTTTAAACCGAACCCCGCAGGGCACAGCGCTAAAACAATTAATATTTAATATTCCCGCTTTCGGCAGTTTCACAAGGTATTTGCAGAGGCCCGGACTCAAATGGCGAATGCAATTTCAGCTGTTGCATGCTTCAAGTAACAAAAACTTTATTTATGGGTCGACTAACCAATTTTCGAGGGAATTCATAAAAACTTTCATAAATTGATGGGCCAATTTGAATAAAAGATGGGAAATTGTGATGACAAAATACAATTTTGGAAGCAAAAATTTGGGAAAATTATAAGACTAGAAGCGGAGTTACTTGACACATAGATCATAATTAAAATAAGGGAGAATGAAGACCATAACTTATGGTATGAGTATCAAGTGGAACATCCACATTTTCTTGAAATTTTGCATGCCCGTTGGACTGATTTTTTAGATGTTTTATAGCAGCTTCTAATAAAATCAAGCTCGTGTTTAGTAGCGGTAACCCAAAAATTCATATTCAACGATAAGCGCCTGCGATAAAAATCACGTTTTTTCAAAAGTGTGTGGACTTATTGTCATGACCCCAACAGTACACAAAACCCCTTTTCGCGACGTGCATTTGACCTTGCGCACCGTGCAAGTGCAACATCGCTGCGACGGAAGCTTTTCTCAACGGAGTCGGCGTGAATTTTAGGGGTGTAAAAAGCAGCATTTCTTTGCTAATTTTTCTTACGAAAGATTGAATCTTTTGTAGAAACTGTTGTTTTTACAGTAAAAATATCTTCACAGCGAGACTTGCAAAACGTATCGCATTGTTGCCAAAAAATATGGAATTTTTCTGCAAATTGCAAGCTATTTATGTATTGGAACATCGCATATATCTTCGCAAAATTAGATCGAAATTTGAGTAAAACTTCGTTACGACTTGAGCGTCACATTTCAACCATTTCCTCTGTAAATAACCCCAAAAAGTAGGCAGGGTTTTACCCATTCCACTCCCTCACCGTTCCCACTCCTTCCCTCTACCTAGCCGGCCGCAGGTAAGAAACATGAATATCGGAAGTTAATTCCCTCGGGCACGATCAAATTTCTGGTTTTTGATGTGGACCATATTATTCCCCTGGATTTTGCGCCTCAAAAATGTTTGCCCTGTTTCAAATTTCCTTTCTGTTCGGAAACAATAATCTATTTAAAAATATAAATAATGGGATCAAATGGCTCGTTTTTTCGGTTCGGATAAAGGGAAACGTTGATTAATTTTTGTTTGAAAAATAACAAATTTTAATTGAATTTGCGGTCTTCTTTGTTATTCTAATTGCTCGAATGAGGCAAGCGTATTTTAAAACCTTTAAATTTAAATTTACAGCCCAAAATTTACAATTCATCACTCAAAACTATTGAAAAGTCTAAAAACAACCCCAAAAAGTACCAAAAAATTGTTCAAATGCCAGATCAAGCTCAAATATTATCTCCGAAAAACGGTGTTTGCCCAGCCTCTTATCCAACAACATCCCACTTTATAGCCAACGTATGTTTTGGACCTGTGGAAGCACCCGAAAACGGCCGAAAACCGAGCCCGCTGAACAAATACCGGGCCCAATCAGCCATGAATAATGTGGGTCCGCAATTAGAACCGTCCCCCCAACCTGGACGGCTCAATTTTCACGTCCCTGTCCGGAGGGCATCAGCTTGCTCCGGCCGAGTGGAGGTCGGGTGGAAGGCCCGGTTTCGAGAGCTAAATGCTCGGAGGCCATGGTTTCAAGAGCTGCAGGTCTTGAGCGGGCGGTTTTGGGCTAAATGCCCCGAGGGCTTGGGCTTCGAGCGCCCCCAACTTGCGCTCACATCCGGTAGAATCGGATCCGTTTTTGGTGGCCGCAAAAAGAGATAATTACCTCACTAATCCAAATCCCGAAATGTAATATGTGTGCCCGGAGGGAATGCGTGTCGGCCCTGTTTGTCAAAGGTTTGGAGCGAAATTTCGAGAGTGTACGCATGGATTTGGGGATGTAATTGATATCCGAGGATTAGCAAACTATTTGTAATCTTCTCTCTGCGATTTGTAAAGGGTATATTACGGAAGGTAGAGCAAAAATACGTTCAAAAATTATGAAAGCAGAACACAGAAGCGGTCTCGCTGGAATATTCCCAATCCAGCGCCAAATGGACGTAAATCCGGTCATGTCATCGCATGCGGAAAAGTGCACCCCAAAATGGAATAAATATCTCTTTTTTTAGCGGAAAATGCAAAAGAATATGAAAATTTTGCTATGATTAGCTTTGTTTATGGGTTTTTGGAATCAGCAAAGCATAAAAATGCAAGAGATCATCGGGTTCTTGTTGATGTATGCCGTTGATGTGAAGAAAGGTGCCATTATTTTTTAATGGAGTGTACGCAGTGGAACCACGTATATAGCAAATTCTGTGACGACAAAAACTTTCTCTAATGGGCAATTTCAGCCGGTCCAAGTTAATTTTACGCCAAATCGAAACATTGAAAGACAAAGTAATTCTATAATATAAGTTCTTGGAGACTTTATGAATTTTTGTACAGAGGCTGGACTGTATGTAGTATGTCACTGTCGCATTTTACATTGCTAAGTCGCCTCGTTTAGCAAATAAAATGATGACGTATAAATTTCGCCCAATTCATCAGTTACTTATTTACAAATTTGGCCAAAATATATTGTATCTCCAAAAGGAAGCCAAGTTTTCATTTTCTCCAAAACTTGCAAAAATGGCAAAACCCGTTCCTAGAATGCCTAAGCCTTTCCGGATCACAGCTTGACATTCAACCATGCAGTAGGTGACAGCAGACAATATCTAAAAAAAAATCTTCAAAAACCCCGCAATAGGATGGCTAGTGTCCAATAGGCAACATTCCCGGTGAATTAAACCTTTCAATCGCGTCTTAACGAAGCTACTACATCTTCAAGCCTCTAGTCGTAATCTGCCTTCATTTTATGAGTTATTTTGAAAGCAGTTACGTAACATATACGTCAAAAGCAGCTTTGGAAAAAAGAAAAAATCTCAAAAGTTTATGTAGGAATATTTTACAAAGCGGCGAATCAAAATTCCCTCAGATTCTGCAAGAATTTACGGGTCGAACTGATCGTAATTTTGTGTCCGTAGAATTCACAGTCTTCTCCAAATTTACATTAAAATTCAACCCTCAGTTCTGCAGCTCTTAACCAGCTAATCATTCAGCAAAATTCTAACAAAATTCCAACAAAAACCCCTTAGCTTTCCCCCGCAAACTCCCAAACTTCAAATGTCACAAGACCCCGAAGGAATAAGATTGCGCATTGGCACGTACAGAGTTTATATACTATATATTCGCAAATAAGAACATTAAAGCTCCGTCTTCTTCTTGGTATCCGCTTTGGCCGTCTTTGGTTTCTTTTTGGTTTCCTTTCTGCCGCCGGCCTTCATGGCATGTGGACATTCGCTATCCGGGAGGAACGGAGACAATATCATTTTCAATTAGCGAGAGGGCAATTGTATAAATACAAATATTTTGATTACTAAAGCTTATGAATTTATGCTTTTTTTAGATTTTTTTCAATTTTTAACGGTCGTAAAAATGGTTTCCGCAAGAAATGGAAGCTTTGAATAACAACTTTTTTTGAATGGTCACATCGTAGATGACAAAATAGTAATCGTTTTAGGAAATAGTTCGTCATTTCAATGGGAGAAATTGATGAAGCTTCGAGAAAAACAAGATGTTTTTGCATGAGAAATTTCATTCAGATTTTATACACTATTTATTTGCAAATAAACATATTAAAGCTCCGTCTTTTTCTTGGTATCTGCCTTGGTCGTTTTTGATTTCTTCTCGGCTTCTTTCTTGGCTCGGGCTTTCTTGGCATGTGGGCATTCGCCATCCTGAAAGCAAAGGTAAAATTGTTAACTATACACAGTAACACACAATACAAAAATTGAATAAATAGCGGCAATCACAATCGCTTGTTACGCTTTAGAAATCTTTAAAAATAATTTTTGTAACAAAAATGAGGAAAAAACAGCATTTTTGGCCAAAGCTTGCGAGAGTCAGCGAAAAAACTAGGCTGTGCTCTATTCTAGTATATAGTCTCTTCTTTTGACTAAAAAAAAACTGTTTCTGATCAACTAAAAGCTTCCAAAACCCCACCATCAATCTCTTCTTTACCTTATTTTCCTTCTCCTCTTCGGTCTTCTTTTGTTTCTTTCCTTTTGGCTTCTCTTCCGCCGCTTCCTCAATTTTTACTTCACCATCTTTTTTAGCATCAGTCTTCTTTTCCTTTTTCTCAGCCGCCTTCTTTTCCACCGTCTTCTTCTCCTTCTTCGCCTCTTCTGTCTTCTTCTCAGCCACTTCTTCCTTCTTCTCCTCAACTTTCTCCTCCTTCTTGGGGGCTTTGGCCTTCTTTGTGGTCTTCTTTGGCTTCTTCTCTTCAACTTCTTCACCAGCATACAATTTTAGGGCCTTTTTCATGGCCTTGATCATGTCTGGGACCACCGGGAAGTAATATGCGTTCTTGGGGTAGTTCTTTTTGTTGTCAACAGCGAGAGGGTTGCCTTCTTTGTCTAAAATGAGGTGGAAATAAAATCAAATCAAGGTAAATAAAACTCTTACCTAAGAAGTACAGTCTTGGGATATATCTGCCATCTGGAGCGTACTTCTCATCTTCTGGCTCATCATCATCTTCGACGTTGACCATGATGAACTTCTTGCTCAGTTCAACGAGTTGATCGCGTTTTGAAGAGCTCAAGAAGCTCTCCTTCAAACCTGGAAAGTAAATTGAACGATGACAAATAATCATGTAAATAATCTTGAACTTTTTATTCCACAGTAAAGATTACCGGAATTAATTAATAGAAAAAAATAAAGAACATACGTTTGCAAGCGCCACACCAAGTCTTATGGATCAACAAGAATGTCGGTTTGTCTTCTTTTTTGCTCAATTCGATGGCATCTTCCCACCTCACCCAGTCAATGTCGGTGCCAAATCCTGAAAGCGAATTGTAAAACAATGCTTTTTCTTTATGTTCATTTTTTGATTTTCCGTTATTTCCATTGTTTATCACATCGTTATCAAAACATGCTCCCGATAATTGGTAAATGAGAAAAGCTCATTTGAGTGCAGAACATGGAAATAAATATTTTTCTATTGTTTACTGCTCTTTGGACATTGGGAAAAGTAAGCATTTTTCTCAATATAAAAACCAAACTAAATCTTGCAAAAAAATGTGTGGTTTGTCGATTAGTCGAAGAGATTTTTTAAGAAAAAAGTTTAGAAGATATTACACTAAATTGAAACCTCTGTAAGACAAACCAGTTATAAGAAAAAAGGTGGTCAGAAAAATGCGAAAATAACAGCATAACTTTTTTGATGACAAAAAATTTATTTTGGACCTACAGATGGTAAATTAGCAAAGAAAGCAACCCCGAGAGCCTAAAAAATAGCTAGTTTCTAAACTGCCTTGGTCTTAAAATCTCCAGACTTTCGGTGCTGCAAAAAAATTGTATCCCAGAAAATCAAAATTTTAACTTACCACATATTTCTTAAAACGCCACAGTTATGACAATCCCGTTGTTATCGGTACACAATATCAAAATCGGGGAACCCTTTGTACCCTAAACCCATGCCTTACAAAACCTGTCTGCGAACAATCTAATAAGTCTCAGAATTCAAGCTTAGGCCCAGAGGCACCTCCGTACAATGAAACCCCCATTCTATCTCAAATAACACTCTTCATCTCTTGCTAATCAATTTACAGAGCTTCCGATTTTATTGTAAATACTCATCTTTAAAGAGGCGTTTATACACAAAGACTTACCGTGAGAATAGTCAGCTGGTCTGTCCTCCTCATCTTCTGTATCAACTTCAACTTCCTCCTCCTCCTCATCCACATCAACCTCCTCTTCCTCGGCCCGCACAAAGACCAACGAAATAGCCAAGAACAATACGAAAACCCGTAGCTTCATTCTTAAAGATCAAAATTAACCGAATTGAAGGCGATTCCCCCCTTCTCAGGTTGTGGTCTTCCAACTGGGTCAAGCAGCGACGTGGCGACTTTCAAGGTCGCTGACACAAAAAAACGCCCTCGAGAATCGCGGAAGGGACGACGTTTCGCAAAAACATTGATCAAAGAAAAAGAATTGGCGCTGATAATAACTGGGTTGAGGACAAGTGTAATCAGCGTGCTAAGGGGGTCAGGAGCGACGAAAGTTGTTGCAAATTCAAGGACAAAGAGACTTGTTTAGTAATTAAAGATCGTTTCTGAAGACGGTTTTCAATAAACAAAGGTCAAATTTTGAGGAATAAATACATAAATAAAAAACTGAAAAAATGGATTTTTTTTGAATACAAAAATTGATAGAAAAAGTATCTCTATTGTAATCTAAAAATGAGGCGAACGTCGGCAAATTACGTGATAAAACGGAAGACCTCTTATTTAGTTATTAAGAAATTGTATAAAAAATAAGAGTGTCCCAAATGAATAACATGTCAAATTACTTCAATAAATGAAAAAAGCAAAAGATTTGTCGGTGTTCCCCCCAAAAAAAAGAAATTCAATAAAAGAATTAGCAGCTAATTGCTTTGCTTTTATCTTGATGTTACTGAAAAGCGCTGCTTTTCATAGATAAATAGCAGCTTTAAACGGTAGCAAGAATGGCCGCAAGGATGATTGCCGAGAAAACCCTTAATTCCAAAAAAAGTGTAATGTACGTGAGATTCGGAAAAATCCCGGAAAATGCAGAATAATTTATTATCGTAAAACTGGAAAGCTGCCTTTTACTCCAAAAAATGATAAGAAAAAGAAAAGAGATTTTTTCGACGTGCTCTGACTTGAGGGCAACCATTTGGGGCGCGAAGTTTGCGGACGGAAGGTTGTGCTTGTATGTTGCCAATGCTACATATAAATGGTACTCTTGGGGAATAAAAAATTTTGAAGAAGCGGCTGCAAAGGCCCTGAATGAAAATACAGAGAACGTTGGGAAAGTTGGCCGTTTTTTACTCACAAGAAGAGTACCCTTAATGCGGCGTTCACATTTCGATAAAACGTGGCACAAATTTTAAACTATTTTTTTAAGACATATGCGATATTTTTAGCTCACGTTATGCAGAAACAATGGAAAGTTTATCTGTGACCAATAGAACAGAAAATAAAACATAGACAATAAAAATCGAACAAGAACCTCGTATTTAACATGAATTACAAATAAAATCCAAAAAAACCTGGAAATTTTCAAAAATTTGAATAATCCAAAATTATGCAAATTTTTCAGATTGCCAATTCAGATTGCCAAAACCCTCGAATTTACACGGTCTCTGCCCCCTCCCAAGTAATTATGCACACATCAAAGACCAAAAATTCCACCAGCATTTATAATATTTACACTTTTACACTTTCCACTTGAGGGCCGCGAGAACTTTCTCCTCCTTGATAACCATAAACAACCGAGCATGTTTTCCGCAGGAGAGACTTGAACTTGGCCGCATAAAAAGGAAGCCAAGTTCCCAGTGAAGGGCCAAATTTTCCGAGGTTTACGAGTTGGAGGAGATGGTCGAAACCCCACATGATGACCGATTTATGGGCTGATTTATGGTGATCATGAAAACGGAAGGGGATCGTTTGAGTTCTTGCGGTTGAACCTGTGGTTTGAGGGGGTTGAGTTTGAACTTGTCACTGGATTTCTCTATTGTGGCAAATCGTGGTAACAAATAGCAAAAAATGCCTTTGTATGCGTATTGTACCGCCTATACTAGAGGTGGCAATCGGGCTGGGCCGGGCCTGAGCAGATTTGAAAAAGCCCTGGGCCGGCCTGGTCACTTCGACCCGCGGGCCTGGCCGCAAAAATCGGCCCGTCTCTAGCCTATACAGGGTGCTTGTTTTTATTCATTCTTTTGTAATCATGTTACAGAAAATAGGAAGAATTAACTACAGTCAACCTGTAGGTCGACGAAACTCAAGAGACCAAAAGGTTCGACCAGAGATACTCTCAATACGACCCTAGGGATTCTGAACAAATTATTCACAATCTTTGTTAAATGGAGGTTTGTTGTACAGAGGTTCTGCTTTAATTTTTTAGGTTTCGCTTTAATTTTTAACCAAAGGAACACGCGACTCTGTGATTTTTTCTCAAATTTTGCGGTTATGATCGATATAGGCCACGAAGTATGCTATATTTAACTTTATTTATCTCTCATTTTCATCTTTTCCATACGCGTATTATGATATTTCATTGCCTGTTTTCGTTGTAATTTATTTTGCAAGAATGTTCAAAGAGCAATGAAAAAGTCCCATTGGCCTTAATGAAAGGGTCTCTTAATGCATTTTTGTTTTGAGATTTCACTTATCCACAACGTATCTTGTTTTTAATCTACTTTTGAAAGGAAATCAAAACAATTTTGTCGTCCGCACATAGTATGGTCGGATATGAGTGGATCACTTGTCACGTGCCAAGGAGATGATAAATATTATATGATATTATTTTGTATAATGTTTAGCCCTTTAACTCTAATTTCTGCATTAATTATGGATATTATAAGTGATATCATTTCGCAATTTCTTATTCGGGCCGCTTGAAATTGTCCAATGCATAATAATTAATGAAAGTATAATTGAGAGAAAAGCGGGTTATTTTTGGGCGAAAATATTATTTATAGTCTGTAAGTGACAATGAAGTGGAAATGGATGTCATGTGAAGATGTGTGAAGATGAGTTGGTCAATGGTGAGCAAATTCACAGGAGAGCTGGGAGTATGGGTGGGCTTGGGATTGTGTTTTTGGCTTTTGAAGATGGCGTGTTAAACTGGGATAGTGCTCCAAGTGCGACGCTCAGATAGTTCTTAAATTTTGTGACATAAGTTACGTCTAGGTCACGTATCAACCCCAAAATTTTAGCTCGCATTTTGCAGGTATAGGCAAAAAGTAATTGGCCGAAAAAATTGTATTTTTTACTCTAAAGATACAAAAGATACAGTGGAGGACCTGATCCAGTGGCAAAAAACGTACCGTTTTGCATCCAGGAAGTATCAAAAATGTGGCAAAATCCTTCCCTCTTCCAAGTGAAAAAACGCCAATTTCAAAAGCGCGCCCATTCTTTTTTTAAAACGAAGTTTTTTTTTCACTTGGAGAGGGAAGCATTTTGCCACACTTTTGTATCTTTCCGGATGCAAAATGATACGTTTTTTGCCATTGGATCAGGTCCCCACTGTATGAAGTTTTAGTCAACCTTCCGTTAAAATTTCAATGATATACTCATTTCAGGAGCCAAGAGTCTAGCATATGCCTTTTCAAACTTCCTTTAAAATATCAAATTGGATACATTCACCGTATTTTACAATTACTGCAAATTTTGAGCTCTGCAAGATGTTGAGCTTTTCTTGCAAACTCTCAATTTCTCTACAAAATCAAAGTAACTCAATATCTTCTCCTCATTCAGACACCTTTTGTACTTTTCTCTTCGAATTGTCTTGATCAAACATCCGGTTTAATACTATGCGTAGTTTTTAAAGACAGCACAGCTACCTTGAGGCTTATTTCCTCGAATCTCATGGCCAAACTCAAATAAAACGTTGTTCAAACACTTTGTTTCCCTTGTCTCATCATTTTTGGGAATCGGCCTAAATTTGCTTTTCTGGCCCAGAATTACACGTGGAAATTTGCAATCATGGAAAAAGTTGCGGGATTTTTGGAGAGATATTTGGAAATTTTTTTGCTCAAAACGTAATGTAACATCTTGTATCCAAATTTTTTGGTTTTTTTCTTACTGTAAAATTCGTTTTTACTGTACTTTGAGTCTTTCATTTCACTCATTTTTTATTCCATTCTTGAATATCTAATTTCATTGCAATCCCACCAACTTTAAAATGAATAATGATTCGTTTCTTTTGGCACTTTTTGATCGGTCATAAGTGGTCAAATCTCAATCCGAAGGGAACAACTTTTAACTGTGCGGCTGGTCAAACTTTCACCCCACCCTCCTCTTCTCTCTTCTGCTTATTCAAATCGAGGCTTTATTCCAGATGTTAATTGTTGTAAGGGGTTCGTTTTTATGGGCAAAATTTTACAGTTGCATTTTTAGTTACTGTAACAGAGATTTGTTCATAAAATTGACAAGGTAGAAGAATATGACGTATTTTACAAAAAAATTCAAATTTACCTCAAAAATGTTACATTCGCATTTTATAAAGGCTATATGCTAGTAATCAACAAAAATTTTAGCTAGTTCTTTGCAGATGTCTCCAAATTATATATACATATACAATTCAACGGTTTTTGCAGCCCTGAGAATATCATTTTTTCTTTGGTCATTTCATAATTTTTTCTGTTGTTCCATGTCTGCAAATATCGCTGAACATTTAGTGTGTGCTTACAAAACGTGTGTTCAAATTTTCAGAAGATTACAGTACTAAAAATTTAAAAAAAAAACTCTGATTGTGAGCGGCAAAACTCGCGCATTTTTACAACATTCATAAACACAGTCACGACCTTTCAATCTCTATGTTCGACTTCTTTATATGTAAATTCCTTAAAATCCCCAAGTCCATCCCACGCGAATGCCCTGCCGTCCTCGCAATTAGAGTTCATCTCCTCCGAAGGAGGCCCTGAGGGCGTTCGCGGGCTCTATTTTGTTTGCCGCTCCCGGAGTGATTAAAATAATGCCGCCGGCACATTCCGCCTTGCTTCTGACATTGTTTTCCCCCGCGTCCTTCTTTTGTCTTCAATTTGCCATGCATGGGGAAATGGTTTGTCAAGGTTGGCGACAAAAAAATAACAAAAAATGTAACCAATACTGCTCGCCTTTGTCATGTCATGCGATATTTGTGGCCCGCTGTTCGGGACATATACTGCCCGACAATTAAAAGTGAAGTCTCGATTCTGAGCCCGATATTGCCCTGAGGCACAAGGTGTTCCCCCAGGCCTCTTCGGTACCCTACGCCGATACAGAGTACCAATTTTCATACATGTGCACTTT